CATGCTGTTTAAAATTATTAAAAAAAATATTAGAATATCGTTCCTTTGGACTATTAGAATAGGATTTATGATGGACGAAATGTTAAGCTCCATTTACAGGGTCGATTTCGGTACGAACAAAAACACGAAATTGAGCCCGAAATTTCGGAATTTCATTTCATGGTAGACCACTTGATTTTATCTTCACCTATTATCTGTTACTGGTGCTCAGTCAACGTATACCGATAGCAAAGACGAGGTGACCATTTCATTTTCACCCATAAAAAAACCACTTCTTTCCGAAGCATTTGCATGGAGACACTCTATCTATGTTTACAATCTATGTCCTAAAAATAGTAACATCATATTTAACCCTTATTTGCATGTTTTTTTTTTTTATTGGTAAAATAAATCAAGGTGATACAATTCATGTTCAAAATTAAAGGAAAAATGGTTAAAAAAATAAATTTGACAGTTATGTTTTTTTTTTTCTGCAATGGACATTAAAAAGATATCCAGACACGATCAACTTAAAGTGAAATTGTTATTTTATATAATTTTTGGGCATTCAATGTTATGATGGAAATTTCCGCCAGTATGCAAAGAAGGGTTAAGTTGAATCAAATTGTACACGGTTGCGTACCAACGGCCGGTATAACCTCGCACCGTAGTTGATGCAATTACAAACGTATTAAAAAGCAAAAGCGCAAAGCGGCAAGGTCACGTCGTGCGTACCACGGAATTGGAAACAATTGGGTAGTTCGAATGGGATCTCTCACAATGCATATCATTGAGCAAATTTTATTTTATTACAAGCAGGTTTTATTTCGAAAAATAAATCCGCAGTTTTAACAACCAATATAGGAGTAGACCGCATTTTTTTTAAAGGATGATAATGGAATGGTAGCCCCGCTTGTGCTAACGGTATACGCTGGCGGAGCACCAATGAGGAACGATAGGCGAAAGTGAAAAGGCAGGTCAGCCCATCGTGATGAATACACTTGGAATTCAATTGGTTTCCTGTGGGGACCACGTGGAGGCACCTGACAGGGTATATCGCTAGCAATAGCCCTGGTAGTCCGCATTACTAACACGTCTGCCCGGGGGAAAAGGGATTGTTAATAATAGAGACTGAGAATCCCATTGCTAGCAATATACCCAACCAGGTCAACCTCCTCGCGGTTTCCCTGGAAACTATCATGATTAATTCCAGATGAATTCATCATGATTGGCTAACTGGCCCGTTTTCATCCTCATCGATCACCCTTCACTGGTGCTCCGCCAGCGTATCCCGTTAGCGCAGACGGGGTTACCATACCATTTTCATCCAATTAAAAAAAAATAAAAAAAAATGTCTGCCGCCTTGCTGTCATCCCTTGCCCCCGGTAGAGCGCATTATGAAAATATTATAATCGGATTCAAACTTGCATTGAAACTACTCAATGACATTTTGAGCCAGTATCCGCAATTGGATGTATTTGCCTCCAACTTGCTGGAGTTTCGTCGAGTGACCACAGAGTATTTGTGTTTAGACATTTTTTGTTTTAAAGTTAAATCTTTTTATATTATTTTTTGTTTAATATTTTTGTGTAATATTCCTTTTTATATGTTATTGTACTCATGCTTTCCTGGGTGAGCGTATTGGAAGACTGCAAGGCTCACCCAGTGGATGTAATAGGGTTTTTTTTTTTATACAACTTAGAATGGCAAACAAGCTGACGGTCCACCTGATGGAAAGTGGTAACCGTCGCCTATAGACATGAGCAGTACCATGGACATAACAGAGTATACTGTTTCGTCCATGATACCCCCCATGCGTTGCCATTCCTGAGGACTCAGTTGTTATTCCTCTGTACCCAGTAAATTTATGCCATAACCCACCCTTAAAACTGAAACACAGCCATACAAACACAACTGCTTCACGGTTGAAACACGAATGGGACAGAGGTACTCAAGCAATCGACTTTTGTACAAAGTCTCCCTCTGGTGCTTGTTGAAAACCGGGCTGGAACGTTAGTAACAAAAAAAGAGCAAATTACATTCAGTCTTTCTAAGTTATATTAAATTAAACTCATGTAATATATATATATATATATTTTGCTTTTTTAATTTTTTGGTTTTTTTTTTCATTCTTTTCTCTTTTACTGGGTATTTTCGTATTGTAATTTGTGTGCTGTAAGTAATGCAAATAAATTCTCTATCTATGCAATGAAGTCCTACGCTAGAGTAGATAATAAAATAGGGGCGAGCTGTACGGTGATAGGTCACGGCCACCCCCATAACGGACTAGTACACACATACAAACATATATAGGTGTTTTGGGCACAGCGAAATCAATTTATCACCTAGTTTACCATGCCATTGTCTTTGTTCGACCTTCGATACAGCGGTGTCTATTACAGCGTGATCTGTATATTGATTACTAGAGGGAGACTTTGTACAAAAGCCGATTGCTTGGGTACCTCTGTCCCATTCGTGTTTCAACCGTGAAGCAGTTGTGTTTGCATGGCTGTGTTTCGGTTTGAAGGGTGGGATATGGCGTGAATTTACAGGGTACGGAGGAATAACACCGGAGTCCTCAGGAATGGCAATGCATGGGGGGTATCATGGGCGAAACAGTATACTCTGTTATGTCCATGGTACTGCTCATGTCTATAGGCGACGGTTTCCACTTTCAATCAGGTGGGCTGTCAGCTTGTTTACTATTCTATATATATATATATATATATATATATATATATATATATATATATATATATATATATATCAGAATTATTTTGTTTTTACAAGCTTTTTGTCTTTAAGCCCAAATTTACAATCTATTTTTTAACCACTTACTGGTGCCCTGTTCGGCTGAAATTTGGTATACTTATGTAAGTTCGGTGACAGTATAACATTATGGTACCGTTAAAATGGTCTGAAGACGGATGGTGGCTATAGGAACTCGGAAACTTTTTTTTTTTAGAACCCAGGGGGCAAACGAGCATGCGGCTCACCTGATGGTAAGTGACTACCGCCGCCCATGATCACCCACAACACTATAGGCATTGCAGGTGTGCTGCCGGCCTTTTAAAAAGGAATATGCGTATATACTATGTATGATAAATCAGTAGTATTTGGACTACTTTGATTTGTCTAGACAAATACTATAACCCTGAGAGTCTGATGATGAAGCCTAAAAAGGCTATAAAGTTATTGTTTTAAAATTAAACAAACTCTTTCAACTCTTTGGGAAAACAGCCAGCCAGTAAGTCGGTCGAAAGAGCTACCGTACGAATCATGTAAATATTTACACACTGATAACGCGCGCACAGCCCTATTGTAACGTTAGAAAAAAAAAATGGAAAGAAACCTTTTTTTTTTACAACTTAGAATGGCAAACAAGCTGACGGCCCAACTGATGGAAAGTGGTTACCGTCGCCTATAGACATGAGCAGTACCATGGACATAATAGAGTATACTGTTTCCCCCATGATACCCCCCATGCGTTGCCATTCCTGAGGACTCAGGTGTTTTTCCTCTGTACCCTGTAAATTCACGCCATATCCCACCCTTCAAACCGAAACACAGCCATGCAAACACAACTGTTTCACGGTACAAACACGAATGGGACAGAGACACCCAAGCAAACGACTTTTGTACAAAGGCCCTGGATTTTAATATGCTCGGTAGAATGTGGACATATCAAGTCTTACGTACACGGTAACGGCAGCAGCCTACAAATGCCTTCGACTACCCCATCAGGGATTATAGACGTGAGCATACAAACGAAAAAAGCAACAGCTGTGTTCCTCGCCCGTTCTCAGCTGCAATTGCATTCCGAACTGGGCGGTACATTCATAAAAAGAGACCATACAAAAATGCTTAGTACTAAGTTTATTAGAAACAAAAAAGTATTTTTATTTTATTTAATTATTTATTTATATCTGTACTTATAAAATCATTTATCTTGACCGACTATCAAGGTACAGCCAAAACTGTAAACTTTAGAGAACTTAAGTTTGAATGTTTTATGTTTTTTTTTAGTCTATATAATTTAAATTTAGAACACAGATGTGTTTTATAAAGTACGCATTCGATTTTTGAAAATTTAAACTTATAGAATTGTGTTCTACAATACACAACCAACTTGAATCGTGGTGAAACCAGTATTTTAATTTAAAAAGTAAACTAGTAAACCGATTTTAATAAATGCGACTTATCTATAAGTATATATTTTCTGATAAAAAAGAATTTTCCAAGAATTTGTGAGGTGACAAACGTAAAAAATACAACCGAATTGTGAATTCCCTTCTTTTTGAAGTCGGTTGAAAAAGGAAACATGACACTACGCGTGCAAAGCAATAGACAATAGCTCACTCCCGGGAAAGATGTTGAAAGCGGTGCTCTTAGATTCTGCCTGCATTGTACGCCGGTTTCCCTCCCTGGGGCCCTGAACCCCGGCCGACTGTGCCTCTGCCGGGGGTTAGTTGCCGTCTCCTCTCCTTAAGAGGGGAGATGAGAATTTCTGTAAAAATTTAAAAAATAATAATAATAATTCTTTATTTTAAACAAAAACATTGGTTACAATATTAATGAAAAACTATGATATACGCAGAAGTGTAAAACTGTACCGCGAATATCAACGCCCTCTACTTCACATTGTAGGATTCCAAAACGTGTTCCAAAATTCCATATAGTGTATAATATTTTAAATATCCTATGTTTTTTAAAGTACTTATCTTAACAATAAGTTATCGTTGACTTAAAAAATAGAAGTCACAAAGAAAATTACGCTTTTTATTGTTACAAAATTAAAGTAAAAAAAAAAAAAACACGGGGCTCATAAAAATAAATTGTAAATAAGTTATCAAAATCGTTTTTAAATTTGAAACTTATTCATGAATTAAATATAATTATTTGATGTTTCTCCTTTTTGCAGAGCAAAAATTTATTACTAGAAAAGCCAGTTAGACATTTTTGCCAACCGTTTCTTATCTTTGCTCTATCAATATCAAGTTCCACTTAATTTTTTCACGAGATCTCGTCTCGTACGCAGTTAGTGCTTGTACTTGTGTGAGTTATTTTAATTAATAATTAGTTTAATTAATCATAAATGAGTTTAAGCGTGAATAATTTTTTTAATGCGGTTGTTGGAGTAATGCGCATTACAAGGGCTTACGTCACGTTTACTGATCTGATAAGTAAGTACGACTCTTACATTTTAACACAAATTCTCATCTCCCCTCTTAAGGAGAGGAGATGGCAACTAATCCCTGGCAGAAGCACAGTCGGCCGGGGTTCAGGGCCCCAGGGAGGAAAACCGGCGTACAATTCGGGCAGTATCTAAGGGCACCGCTTTCTGCATCTTTCCCGGGAGTGAGCCGCCTCGGAATCCCAACCGTCTGAGATGTTGTTCCAGACTGGTTGGGATAAGACCGTTCACCGACAAAACGATTGGAACGATTTCGGTGGACGTCACCCCCCACATTTCGGTCACCTCGTGAGCCCAATTCTTACATTTATTATTATTATTTCACCCATTTACTCTCCACTGCTGAACATAAGCCTTCCCCATAAGGGGAGTTTTGCCAGTAGTTGCCATGCTTGGCAGGCGGGTTGGCAACCGCAGTTAGGCTTTTAGAGATGTTTTCAGAGAGACGCTGCTGCCCTCCCTTCGTCGTCTCTTAATCGCCTTTTACAACACCCACGGGAAAGGAAGAGGTGGCTTGTTCTATGCCGGGACCATACGGCGGCATTTATCACCATACACTTAGAATAATGTAGTTATATACTTTTAAGGATAACACTCTCCAATACATGGGTCGGGGGGAAAGGGATTGTTAGTGATGGAGACTGAAAATCCCATTGCTAGCAATATACCCAACCAGGCCGACCTCCTCGCGATTCCCCCTGGAAACTATCATGGTTAATTCCTGACGAATTCATCATGAGGGGCTAACTGGCCTGTTTTCGTTCTCATCTATCACCCTTCACTGGTGCTCCGCCAGCGTATCCCGTTAGCGCAGGCGGGGTCACCATACCATTTTCACCCATCAAAAAAATACATGGGTCGTCCATTAGTTCGCTATTTTCCAAGTTATATCAAAAAGATTTTTACTGTTGCGTTTGTATTTTTTTTTTTACAAATTTACTGATGACCTAATAAATATCAGATGTAAGTGAATTATGGATTTTGAACTTTAAAGATGTGCAAATAATAACACTTTTAGTTTGCACTATGTATCTGCAAAGTTACGTGCGTAAACATTGGCTCGTAATGAATTAATTAATTTACACTGAATACCAATTATTTGCCTACTTATATGACTTTTATCCAAAGGCCTAACTGCGGTCGCCAACCCGCTTGCCAAACGTGGCAACTACTGGCAAAACCCACCTTATGGTGAAGCTATGTGCCGCAGTGGACAGTTAATGGTCAATACAATAATAACTATATGACTTTTCGTATATTTTCTGTGATTTTATAAAGGCTTTATTTTTACGCTTAAATATTATAGTGCCACTAATAACTACCTATTTTCAGTAGTTTGCTTGGGCACCTCTGTCCCATTCGTGTTTCTACCGTGAAGCAGTTGTGTTTGCATGGCTGTGTTTCGGTTTGAAGGGTGGGATATGGCGTGAATTTACTGGGTATAGAGGAATAACACCTGAGTCCTCAGGAATGGCAACGCATGGGAGGTGTCATGGGCGAAACAGTATACTCTGTTATGTCCACGGTACTGCTCATGTTTACAGGCGACGGTTACCACTTTCCATCAGGTGGGCCGTCAGCTTGTTTACCATTCTAAGTTGCATAAAAAAAGCTTTAGGGGGAAGGAATTGTTAGTAATGGGGTGTAACAGTCTCCTGGCGGCTCTCCCTGGAAACAATCGTGGTTAATTATTGTAGAATTCGTCACGATGGACCAACAGACTTACTTTAATCCTCACTTCATTTATCACTGATGCTCAGCCAGTCCACCGATAGCGCAGTTGGGGTTTTTTTTTAATAGATGATAATGGAATGGAACCCTACCTGTGCTAACGGTATACACTGGCGGGGCACCAGTGAGGGATGATAGGTGAGAATGAAAAGGCAGGTTAGTTAGCCTATAGTGATGAATACACTTGGAATTCAGCACGATGGTTCCCAGGGGTGATCACGGGGAGGTCGACCTGATGCATTCCATTATCATCCATAAAAAAATCTCTAGTTTGTGTTTCGATTGTTTAGCATGAAATTTGCCACGTGTATCATTCTTTTGTTAACTAAATTGATGTCTGTTTCGCATGGTATTGAACAAGAGCGACGACCCCTGGACGCGATGGAGCGAAATAAGTATATGTACCTATTGAATTAATCGCTGACATTATAGGAAGTTACAGTAAACATTCGTGTTTGCTGTATCCGGCATAGAACAGGCCAGCCCTTCCTTTCCATGGGTGTTGTAAGAGGCGACTAAGGAAATGTACTGGTCGAGAGTTGGGCATCAACGCCCCTCTTTCATAACATCACCAAAAACCTAACTGCGGTTGCAGATTTGTCTGCCAAGCGTGGCAACTACTGGCAAAGCTAACCTTATGAGGGGAGGGGAAGGGATTGTTAGTAATGGAGACTGAGAATCCTATTGCTAGCAATATACCCAACCAGGTCGAGCTCGTCGCGGTTCCCCCTGGAAACTATCATGGTTAATTCCTGATGAATTCATCATGATGGGCTAACTGACCTGCTTTATCCTCACCTATCATCCTTCACTGGTGCCCCGCCGGTGTATACCGATTCCACTGCAAAATTATATATAACAAATTTACCGTAACATGTTGTGCTGTCAAGCAAATTACGCTGCAGCCTGTGTTTACCTCTTACATCTAAGCCTTCTACCTTTAGGCTAGATTCACACTATAGTACCAATCATAGGTTAATCTCGGTCTAGCAAAACATTATTACGTTATAAACAATGTGTCTATTCCTACAACATTTTTTTTTTATTTTATTAATCTTTTATTTGAGAAAGAAACAACAGATAAAATATATCATAGTAAAAAAAAAAATTAACCAATAAACTTTCAACAAAATACAAATCTGATGTTAAAATTACGTAATACACACTGTTTAAACTACTACTGCCTTCGACTAGTCCATCAGGGATTACAGTCGTGAGCATACAAACGAAAAAAGCAACAGCTTTGTTTCTCGCCCGTTCTCAGCTGCAATTGCATTCCGAAGTTGGCGGTAGATTTATAAAAAGGGATTATTCAAATATGCTTAGTACTAAGTTTATTAGAAAAAAAAAGTATTTTTATTTTAGATAATTATTTATTTACATCTATACTTATAAAATCATTTATCCTGACTGACTACCAAGGTACAGCCAAAACTATAAAGTTTAAAAAACTAAAGTTTTAATGTTTTTTGTATTTTTTTTTTGTTTAAAATATAAATTTAAATGTAAAAAAATATTAACCAATAAACTTTCAAAGAAATACAAATCTGATGTTAAAATTACGTAATACATACTGTTTAAAAATATTAAAATATCGTTCCTTTGGATTTTTATGGTGTCATTTATGATGAACGAAATGTTACTGAGCCGTTTTCAGTAGCTATAAAAACACGAAAATAAATTTCAAAATTCACAATTTCATTTCATGGTAGACCCCATGGAGATATATCGTTCTTGCCATAAAAAAAGTCATTTTTAAGTAACCTAACATTGTTTCAGATACAAGAACAAACTCAGATGGCGGGACCGGGGACACGAGTACCCTGGACATGGGCAGCCGCTCCTCACTGCACACGGGCCTCCACATGTCAGAAGATGAACACTGGGAGATGAATTATCATGAGGCTGCTATATATTTAGAGGTAAGAAGTTTTTGGAAACAGTTCTCTTGTAGAAACTATATTCTTACTAATTATTTTTTGAAATTTCACATAATCAGGATATTTTCGTTGACCGGGAGATAAAATATTAATTTATTTAAATCATTTTATTGAGCAAAAGAAAATATGGTACAAAATGGACTTTTTTTTTTATACAACTTAGAATGACAAACAAGCTGACGGCCCACCTGATGGAAAGTGCTAACCGTCGCCTATACACATGAGCAGTACCGTGGACATAACAGAGTATACTGTTTCGCCCATGATACCCCCCATTCAGATTTTATTCCTCTGTACCCTGTAAATTCACGCCATATCTCACCGTTCAAACCGAAACAGCCATACAAACACAACTGCTTCACGGTTGAAACACGAATGGGACAGAGGTACTCAAGCAAACGACTTTTGTACAATGATCTCCCTCTGGTATACTCTACTGGCAAACCCTCCCTCTATGAGGGAGGACTATAGTCAACAGTTAACGGCGGAGATGATGATGAATGTAAAGAATATATTTATTGAAATTGCGGGCAAATTATGGTTTGTCGTAGAAGAGTTATAAAGTTACGCGAGTTATTTACTCGTAGCAAATATTAATAAATCGCACTAGTGACGTCCTAATGTCACTGCCGCCATATTTTTTTTTTGATGGCTGAAAATGGTGTGGTAACGGGATACGCTGGCGGAGCACCAGTGAAGGGTGATAGATGAGAATGAAAACAGGCCAGTTAGCACATCATGATGAATTCATCAGGAATTAACCATGATAGTTTCCAGGGGGAACTGCGAGGAGGTCTACCTGGTTGGGTATATTGCTAGCAATAGGATTCCCAGTCTCCATTACTAACAATCCATTTCCCCCCACTGCCGTCATATTGACACAGGGAGCGCTTTGTTTTTATATAGCTTGATAGATTGACCATAAATATTTTTGGCAGTACTCTTTTCTCATATTACCTATTCGAAATAATGAATAAACTTTTATTGTTTGTATATATTATAATTATTATATCAGCCAAAAGTTGGGGGTGCTCAATAGGGTGAGACGGTATTTCACGCCGGATCACCGCCTGAAATTGTATAAAGCTCAAGTGAGGCCACACATGGAATACTGTTTTCATCTGTGGGCAGGAGCGCCACAGTACCAACTCCTTCCGTTAGACCGCATTCAAAGTCGGGCAGCTCGAATTGGTGACGATCGGCGTCTTGCTGTCCGGCTCGACCCACTGAAACTGCGTACAGATGTTGCATCTGCTGGGAGTGCTCTGAAGAATTGTTTGGATTGATACCTGCTGCTGATTTTCACCATCGTACAACCCGCCATAAACTAAAATTTCATCCCAACCATCTGGACGAGTGGCGGTCCTCCACCGTGCGTTTTTCAAGGCACTTTCTCCCACGCACAACCACTCTTTGGAATCAACTTCCAGCAGCAGTATTTCCGAACCGATACGGCAGCATAACCTTCAAGAAAAGAGCATATTTCTTTTTAAAAGGCCGGCAGCACACCTGCAATGCCGTAGGTGTTGTGGGTGACCATGGGCGGCGGTAGTCACTTACCATCAGGTGAGCCGCATGCTCGTTTGCCCCCTGTGTTGTAAAAAAAAAATCAGCCTTTAACTGTCCTCTGCTGAACATAAGCTTCTCCCTTAGGGAGTTTTATCTGTTGTTGCCACGCTTGGCAGGCGGATTGGCAACCGCAGTTAAGCTTTGGAGAAGTTTTAAGAAGGATGGTGCCCATCCCTCGCCTTCCCTTAATCGCCTCTTACGACAATCACGGGAAAGGAAAGCGTGGAATATTCTATGCCGGGACTACATGGTCATATATATCATGAACAGTATCATGGACATAACAGAGTATACTGTGTCACTCATGATATCCTTCATGCGTTGCATTCCAGAGGATTAAAGTGTTGTGCATGTTATTAAATTACTTCTTTCTACTCAGGCTCTTTGGAAAAATCGTTAACTTCACTGTTTGTATACCCCTTTAAAAGATTACTAATCACTTCGGTTAACTCCAGTAGCATAATATGCCGGGGGTTACCATTTATACTATGTATAAAAATCAGTGTATTCCAGGAAGGATTAAACAATGAGAAATTTGACTCCCACCCGTCGAGCCCTGAGGAGTTACCAGCGTACCTTAGAGTGCACAATCCGTGGTATCACGGACTGGACCTCCTCGCCTCTTTAGTGCTTATTATGCTGGCGTTTACAGAAGATCCAGCAGTACCGGCTTTTGAGGTATGTTTCAAAATCCATTGGCAATAGATTGTGTACTGGTATATTCATGAGGAGCTTTCTGACTTATTCTGTTATAAAATGTAATATAATTTTCTCAAACATGCTTGGAAATGTGAGCATTATTTTGACAATCTTTTTCGAGATAAACCAAAATTGCCGTACTGGCCTGATACTTTCGGGCAGCGGCCGGCAAAAGTTGTATGAAAATCCATATCTGTCGTGTTTTGCGGCCAGATAAATTACTATGTAAACTCATATCTGTCCTGTAATTTAAAAATGGAATGACCTTTTACTTCGAAACATGGCTACCAAGGAGGTAACTAATAAAAGGTTTTATTTAAATTTCGAATTGGCTTGCAAATAGAAAGCTGTTTATTGAAAAAAAAACAAAGGAACATTATGGCGCGTGAAAAATTATTATTGTTCGTTATTCGTCATTGAACTTAAAAAGTAAAATTGTGTTTTTGATTTCCGCGCATTATTTGAGAAAAGTACTATACAAGCCTTGGCCACAACTAGGCATTGATGGACTCACGTATGTGTGCCTCGGCTTCGCCTCGGCCCACATTTGCACCTTCGTCTATCAATGCCTCAGTTGCTGGCCGCTGCAGTAATGTACTATTTTCGTATTGAATTTCGCTTTTTTCTTTTAATGATGGTTGTGTGGATTCTAACATATAATAGATTATCCTTTGCCGTCCCTGTGAGTGTGCCATCCGTCTTGCAATGATGCTCGTCAGAGCTAATATGTTCTCTTTTCTCGTAACACATGGTATTCTAGTACGGATTCTATCCGCCACCAATGGCAGTCTATATATATTCGATATTCTTTTATATTATGCTTCTTAAATATCAGCTTTTATTTTTTTTTTACAATAAGAATGGCAATTTAGCACACTGTCTTCATATTTGCAACCTATACTTAGCTTAGTACTTGATTAAAATAATTAAATATCAATTAATTAAATAAGAGATGTAAATTTCAGCTTCCAGTATGGGCGCACGGCACCATAGAATTAATGGCATTAACAGTTATTGGGGTGGAACTACACTTAAAATTAAAATGGATAGGCTGGAGCACTATCCTAAAACACAAAAGAACTATGATAAAGGTGGGTAGACATTGCAATATGTGGCGATGCAATTTTTTTTATCAATGTTTAGACCAAATAATTAAAATTGTTAGCACCTCTATAGGCGCCAACAATTTTTCAATATTTGTAAGTTTATACTGGGCATCGATGTTTTACATATATACATACGTACATACATACATACATATCTGTCACGCCTGTCTCCCATTAGAGTGTATAGTATTACCATCAATTATAACATCGATGCCCTAACACCAGAGGAAGACTGTACAAAAGTCGACTGCTTGAGTACCTCTGTCCCATTCGTGTTTCAACCGTGAAGCAGCTGTGTTTGCATGGCTGTGTTTCGGTTTGAAGGGCGTGAATTTACTATGGCGTGAATTTACTGGGTACAGAGGAATAACACCTGAGTCCTCAGGAATGGCAACGCATGGGGGGGTATCATGGGCGAAACAGTATACTCTGTTATGTCCATGGTACTGCTCATGTCTGTAGGCGACGGTTACCACTTTCCATCAGGTGGACCGTCACCTTGTTTGCCATTCTGAGTTGTATAAAAAACAAAAAAAAAACTTACCATACAGGAAGATTATACGAATTAAAAATTTAGGGTACTTTTCGCCTATATTTTATTATCTAAGTCCGCAATTATTTTAAGGATCTTAATATTTAAACTGAAACAAATCAAATTAGATAGATAGATAGATATTCTTTATTGTTTCCTCCAAAAGATTACAATAGTAAACTTAGTATAAGTGTAAATAATTAATTAATACAAGTGTTGCTGATTAACCGCAAACAAGTTCGATTATGGTAGTTGTTTACTCTGTAGAACAATTTATATTATATATAATGTATTAAACTACATCGTTTACAATACTAATTAAATTAATTGATGTTAATATTTATTTTTCAGGGTATTACCCTTTTAATAATGGTATTGGAAGCAGTGGTGGTCCTTTGTAGACAATCTTCACATTTTCGTGTAACGAGAGCACTGCGACCCATTTTCTTGGTAGACACGCGGCACTGCGGTGGCGTGAGAAGGTTCATCAGACAAATATTACAGTCGTTACCGCCTATTATTGATATGTTAGGTGCGTTTTAATTATTTAAATGTATAAACTGATCATTCTTAGATTAATTTATTTAAATTAGTAAAGTAGATACAGCGTGTGTTGCCTATATCCTCTATATATAATAAAAAATATTTGGATACTAAATTTAAATTTGAAAACGTACTATTAATTTTATTAATTGAATATCTAATACCTAAATACAACCAAAAGTACTCTAAAAATATAGTTTTTTTCTAAAAAAAAGTAAAATTTGCTTCAATAAATATACTTTATACCGTAAGTTTTATTTGGTAATAGTCTCGATTCAAATCCATCCTCTTTTTTTTTTGTTTCAGGTCTTTTAATGTTCTTTGTGGCGACATATTCGCTGTTAGGTTATTATTTATTCTCGGAACACATAGACAATGGACACTTTCAGACAATCAGTGATTCCTTCGTTAGCATGTTTGTTTTGCTGACTACTGCCAAGTAAGTAATTCTTTTTTTTAAGAAGTTTTCTCACAATGATCAGTATCATTAAATATTCTTGTATTATTAAAAAAAAAATTGTTGCAGTTTCCCAGATGTAATGATGCCGTCGTATGCTAAATCAAAATGGTACGCGCTGTTCTTTATCCTGTACATAATTACCGTCCTCTACGTACTTATGAATTTGGTGAGTTATATTTATATTAAATATTATAGAGTCTACTTAACCCATTTAAAACAATCTCAAACATTATGTATGTCACGGAGAATATTGGCGCAAAATCGACGCCATTATTTGAACATCACTGACAGACTGTCAAATACGAGCATTTAAAATGTTAACAATAATACAATGTGTTGCAGATTCAATTTATTTATTTATTTAACTCTTTATTGCACCGTAAATAAAAAATATACAATGACAAGTGAATAATTCAAGTGAAATACAGTAACATAAATACAGATTTAATAATTTTAGGAATTTCCAAGTGGGGCATGGCATAAACATGGTTGGGAAACATTGCTCTAGATGCTGGCGGTAGTGTACGAGACGTTCACGCGCATCGAGCGCGAGAAGTGCCGCGCGCTGCTGCTGCACCGGCGCCGCGCCGCGCGCCACGCGTTCCGGCTGCTGGTGTCGCGCCGCGCGCCGCGCCACGTGCGCCTGCGCCACTTCGCCGGCCTCATGCGCCACTACGCGCCGCACTACAGTACGTACCGCGCTACCGGACACCTTTCACAAACTAATTCGTCGGTAGATACGTTTTCGTTACAACACAAGTGAGGAAAAAATAAAACGTCGTCTATTGCTGTGTCCGTCCTACAATCACCACGTAGCTTTCAGAGAGAGATATTTATTTTAAAATTATATTAAACTATTTAGTTATTACTCGTGACATTGTTCGTGATTGGAATATTCCTATTGAAGCAGTTCAAGAGTAGTCTCTCTCCTATACTATGTACGACGTATATATCAAATTTCATGACGATCGGTCGAGCCTTTAAGGCGTCAAGCGATAACAGACAAAATCATAATTAAAAATATTTTTTTCTATATTTAATGGTGTGTTTTGCATGATTTACAGGCGGTTTAGACGTATATCTAATGTTCAAGCAACTAAACCATTCCGACACCGGCGGCCTGTCTAGTTCCGAGTTCGCGAACCTGTACGAGGTGTTCGCGCTGCGCTGGTGTCCGCAGCAGTCGCGCGCGCCCTGGTACTCCGCCTCGGCCTTGGAGCCGTTGGGGAGGGCCGCCGCTGCTGCCGTCCGGTGGCCTTACTTCGAATACCTTATATGTACGATAATCATTTTATAATAAGTATACATGAAATGTGAAACGCAGTGTAGAACGAGCCCTCACTAGATGGAGTGACGATACCAAATATATTGCAGGGAATCAGTGACTGGCTTATGGCAGTTTATGGGGGAGGCCTATGTTCAGCAGTGGACGGATAGTGCCTGATATGATGGTGATAAAAATTGGCTAATATGAAAAAAGAAGCAGGCCAGTTAGCTCAACGTGATGGATACACCTGGAATTCAGCACGATGGTTTCCATGGGGCTAGGGTTTCTAGGAAGAGGCCTATGTTAAGAAGTGGACAGGTGATGTGACAGCTGATATGGTGATACACGGAATGGCATACAATTTTTTTAACTTATAAAATGTTAACTCCACCTACGCTATTAGACTATGAATTACTTTCTTCAATCGTACATTCTTGACAGAGTGGTTTTCATGATTATAGTGGATTGTCGATGAGGCTCTTCATCGTGACTGAGGTCTTCGCAATGTGTTTCCATCAATTTCTGCTCACAGCCGAAAGATTCTGAATACATTAGTGAAGTATTCACGAAGTTTATTAGTTGATAACGAAGTCAGATCTGTTGGATATTGTAAGGAATTCAGCATGAGTTGTTCTATGATGTTTTCCAGGGTCTACCTCGTGGAGGTCGACTTGATAGGCTATACTGCTATTGCCGTGTATTCCCGGCATAGAATAGACTACTTCTTTTCCCATGGGTGTCGTAAAAGACGACTAAGTGAATGGTCGAAGAATAGGCAGCAGCGTCCCTCTTAAAACATTTACTGCAGTTGACTGCAGACTGCAGTTACTAACCCGCCTGCCAAATGTGGCAACTACTGGCCACCCCTCCCTCCCTCCAGTCCCTCCCCTCAAGGGCGAGGCCTTTGTTCATTGGACACTTAATAACTGATATGATGACGATGATGAATAGCTTTTATCTCTTTTCAGACGCACTAATCATAGGTAACGGGATATCAATGGTGCTGCGTGTTTGCGAAGCGGCCGGCGACCTGCAGGACAGCGCCAGACTGTTGTGTGCCTCGTGGGATACTTGGTTATTCCTCACGTGTAAGTTGCAATATTTTACCAATAGGAGAGTGTTGAAATTTCTTTCTCACTTGAATATCTAAGTCCAAGCAATTACATTAGTGAGATATGTAATAATAGGGAGACTTTGTACAAAAGTCGATTGCTTGGGTACCTCTGTCCCATTCGTGTTTCTACCGTGAAGTAGTTGTGTTTGTATGGCTGTGTTTCTGTTTGAAGGGTGGGATATGGCGTGAATTTACTGGGTACAGAGGAATAACACCTGAGTCCTCAGGAATGGAAACGCATAGGGGGGGTATCATGGGCGAAACAGTATACTCTGTTATGTCCATGGTACTGCTCATGTCTATAGGCGACGATTACCACTTTCCATCAGGTGAGCCGTCAGCTTGTTTGCCATTCTAAGTTGTATAAAAAAAAATTGTACATAAAATTTTGTTTGCAGTGTTCCTCCTGGAAGCTGGGCTCCGTATAATGGCCATGGGACTAGCGGCCTACCTGGAGAGTGGGTGGAACGTGTTCGACCTGAGTGTGACGCTGCTGGCCCTCATGGGCGCTGTGCTGTTGAGCATAGCTCCCAAACTATTCATTGTTGTTATATTCAGACCACTAAGGTTAATAAGTCGTATATATATATATTTTTTTATAGATAAAGCCCTTTGAACTTTGATTAAATTAAGCTTTCTAAAGCTTTTATTCATATTTATTTTTATTAAGGAATTTCGCGACTGACTCTTGGCCACAACAGAATATCAGTGTTTTGCTCTTTTGAGGGCAAAGCAATAAACTGAGTTGTGACCATTTTCTGTTACTATGAAAAAAGGACATGGAGGCATGAAAAAAGGAAATTGTTGTTTTATATATTTTGCTTTTTGTTTTCTTTTTTTGTTGCCTTTTTGTTTTTAATTTTTTTTATCTCTTTTACTGTGTATTATGTGTATGTTTGTATTGTAATTTGTGTGCTGTAAGTAATGCAAATACAAGAGGGAGACTTTGTTCAAAAGTGGTTTGCTTGGGTACCTCTGTCCTATTCGTGTTTTAACCATAAAGCAGTTGTGTTTGCATGGCTGTGTTTCGGTTTGGAGGGTGGGATATGGCGTGAATTTACAGGGTACGGAGAAATAACACCTGAGTCCTCAGGAATGGCAATGCATGGTACCCATGATACCCTCATGGGCGAAGCAGTATATACTGTTATGTCCATGGTACTGCTCATGTCTATAGGCGACGGTTACCACTTTCCATCAGGTGGGCCGTCAGCTTGTTTGCCATTCTAAGTTTTTTGTTGCTGTTTTTGTTTTTTATTCTTTTATCTCTTTTACTGTGTATTATGTGTATATTTGTATTGTAATTTGTGTGCTGCAAGTAATGCAAATAAATTATCTATCTATCTATTTAAGGTACTTTTTAGTATAAATTATATAATATAATTATATTTATAATAATATTTATTTAATTTTAAGTAAGTATCATTATAAATTGTTAAAGATACCGCGAACATACAGGAATACAGATTGAACCATGAATCTCTTTCTTTTTTATTTACTTCAAATTGAAGGACGTTCTCTATACGTCAATATTAAAATATTACATTTATAAAATTTTCATATGGCAACTTTGAATTAAAAAAAAAGTAGGTGTAGTAGTGATTTTAATAGTAAGTTATAATTAAATAAGTGAAAAGCATTTGCAGATTGAAAATTAGTCAAAAATTTTTTATCTCCCCCACATGTCTATGTATACAGCTATTATTAAGTATTACCATTGATACAGCTACAGATTATGCTATTGTTAAAAAATTATAACTTGTCTTTATTTCATTTTTTTAATTTTTTTTTTCCATGTTACCAGTTTTAAGTAACTAATTACGTAAATTAAAATATATGTATTTATATTATTTTCTGTAGATTAATGCGTCTATACAAATTGAAGAAACGCTACCGCGACGTGTTCGGCACGCTGGTATTGCTATCCCCGTTGATGTCATCCGCCGGCTGCGTAATGCTTGTCATGTACTACTTCTTCGCCATCGTCGGCATGGAGCTCTTCGCCACATACGACTTGAGGAATTGCTGTGTGTAAGTGCCACTAAAAGAAATATAACTATAAAATAGCCCTAAAACAATTATTAAATGTAATTTTGGTGACAATTTAATACGTACTACTTTTTCAAAGTATCTATGTTTAAGTGTCACTTTTGTACGAATATTTAGGCGGGAAACGATTTCAACAAAACCATAGACAATTAAAGTTTGCGCAATAAGCTTTTTTATGTTTAAAATTGTTATTGCGCAAAAAATATATTAATACTATACTAACATTTTGCAAAAGACATTGCGAGAACCTCAACCGCGAAGGAGGGCCTCATCGACGATCCACTATCATTGTAAAAACCACGACCACTCTGTCCAGAGTGTTCGAATGAACAGAGAGATACTAAAATTAAGCATGTTTCTTATGAAATACGACCAAATAAATCTTTTATCTCAAATAACCTATAATCGTTACTCGACTTTCATTTTTTGTATTTATTCTTTTGTTCGAAGATACAACATTAATGCTACATATTTAGTTAAATGATATGCAGCGATTGATTGGTACACCTTTGGGTGTTAGATCAAATTCCACAAGATTTTTATGTATCCTTATACATAAAAATCTCGTGTCACACTGTTTGTTCATGTATATCTCTGCAATCGCTAATATTTTTTTTGCTAATTTTAATGAAATTTTGTAAATATAATATATTGTTTACTTCAAATTGAGAGATGCGATATTTGTATCCTACTTATAAATAATGTAACCTATGACAGCACAAAACGAAGTTTGCCAACGCATTAATAAATAAAATGCAATATAACGCAAATTGGACTCTATTTTCCGCGCTTAACCTCTCATTTGGGCCGTTGTGCGTATGAGTCGTGGCTTGTACAGGCAAAATGCAATATAATAATATAATGTTTTAACTTTGTAGTTTAAGCATAACCTGCTCTTCCACAGTAACACCACCGTGGAGGATTTCTACAAATTCTCACTGAACAGTTCCACCCCCCTTGGGTACTATTACTTGAACAATTTCGAGAACATCGTCACTAGTGGCGTGACGCTGTTCGAGCTGACCGTCGTCAACAACTGGTTTATCCTGATGAACGCATATGCCACTGTTGCCGGGCAGTTTAGCAGGATGTACTTTATGGTAAGTGCTTCTTAAATTTTAGAATTAGACAGTCTATTAAAATTTATAATTAAATTCCCCAGCACTTTAAAAAATTACCAACTAATTATTTTAAATCCCAATAACAAAAATGGCTTATTGACCATTGTTTCTATTTAATTAATGAATTTATAAAATGAAAAGTGAAATGAGTAAATAATTAATATTATAATAATATTGTTGACACTAATCACAGACCTACTAACTACTAACTACGTACCTAACGTATTAATATCAAATGAGATGAAGTACATTATTTGACATATTGTTTTTTTTTTTTATAAAAATTGTTAACATTGTTTATTTAATGTTTAAGTATTTTAAATTTTGCACGCCTAATTGTGGCGAAATATGTGGACTTAATATTATTTTAACACCTATATGTGAAATGTGAAATGTGAATAGGACCCTATTTTCCGCGCTTAGCCTCCCATTTGGGCCGTTGTGCGCCCCAATATATTTACCATGTTTCTTGCCAATAAATATTTATTTATTTATTCAAAGATACTTTTGGTTACTCAAGGGATTAAAGAGATCAATCTTTTGTCTGTTAATCTTTATAGCAGTAGCAGAAGCCATATAGGCGTGTTTGAAAGACAGGAGGGTTGTTCAATTTGATAGCAGATAAAATTGATTACTTGACATTTCCAGGTATTCTATCTATTCACAATGGTGGTGCTGACGATAGTGGTAGCAAGCGTGCTGGAGGCTTTCAGATTTAGGATACAGTATAAACGGAGCACCACGAAAAGAGACGGTATGATTTACTTTTAGTCCTAATAAAACTTTATTAAGCTTAAGACAGAATAAAAAATAAAGAAACACATTTCAAAAATTACAAAAATATTATAAATCCTAAATACATTCAACAATATGTACTTTTAAATATTATTTTATTTATTTAATAGCTGTATGTTTTTCTGTCTTGATTTATGGAGACACAGCGAGAGTAATTTAACTGAATTAATTTATTTTTTCTATATTTTTTTTTAAATTCATCTGCTTACCTTGTCAGCGACTTAGCGTGAAGACTGTTAGTTTTTTTATGTAGAAATTATATCAATTGATTGAAATGTCCACAGAGGAGAAGCTGCTGCATGAGGAAGTACATACGAATTGGGAAGAGGCGCAGCGGCTTGGCGCCAGCGGAGATCTAGCTGAAGAGTTGCGTCCTTATCTACCGCCTGGGGTAAGAACACATTGGTTCAGCCTATCTTAGAAGCTGGAGAAGTTTTCAGCACATGACTGATAAGACTGGAAAGGTTCACAGTGGGAGTAAAGGAATAAATATTATATTTTTAGTAGTAATAATCTATTTGCAGTTCATTTTTATATATATACATATATGTCAAGAGTACTTTTTAAGAGAAAAAATATGGATAGAAAAATAATATTGATATATTGCGTGTTTTAACTTAAATCTATATATACCTACTATTAAGGAAGTTCAATGAAGGCTTCCTTAATTGCTTTAAAATTATTTTTTATACAACTTAGAATGGCAGACAAGCTGATGGCCCATCTGATGGCAAGTGGTAACCGTCGCCTATAGACATGAGCAGTACCATGGACATAACAGAGTATACTGTTTCGCCCATAATACCCCCCATGCGTTGCCATTCCTGAGGACTCCGGTGTTATTCCTCTGTACCCAGTAAATTCATGCCATATCCCATCCTTCAAACCGAAACACAGCCATGCAAACAACTGCTTCACGGTAGAAACACGAATGGGACAGAGGTACCCAAGCAATCGACTTTTGTACAAAGTCTCCCTCTGGTAAAATGTATACTATTATTGCCTGATTGCCCGTTATTTCTTAATCATGGATTACAGAAGTAGGAAAACAAATTAAATAAACACCTTTTAGATGGTGTACCAAGATAGATTTTCAAAAACATAACTGTTCCCGTGGTAGACCTGATGCATTGGCATTACTTAATATTAAGGTGTTATGTATACATACTCTGTAAACCCTTCAAACTGAAACAAAATCATACAATTACAGCTACGTGATGGCAATAATCTACCATAAAATTACTTGTATAGTATATCAATATAAAAAAAAACTAATGTGCAATGCATTATTTATTTATTTATGTTGTAATACTGAATAATAATAATTTATTTATTTTATTTACTTATACTTTTGCACACATTAAAATATGTCTGTAGGACGGACTTAATGCCTGACAGCATTCTCTACCAGTCAACCGTTGCGCTGAACAGAGAGAGCAAATGGCGGTGCATTGATTAAAAAAATTTTGTGAATTAAATAAATATTTTGTGAGACAACAACATTAATACATTTAAAGATAAATGAACATACAAACATATATAATAATACACTTACAAAAATTATACATACATAAATCACATACAAAACAATACATATAAGTATAAATAATTATACATAAATACATATTAATAAAATAAATATGTAAGTCAAGACTAATTAAATAAAACAATGTTGTGCGTTATTATGAATTTGAAAAACTTTGTTGTGTCCAGGTGGATGTGACGTTTATTGGTTCAAGACCACGAACGAAGGAGGTGCTGCAAAGGAGAATGTATCAGTCTGATATTCAGAAGTGGCTTGCTGAGGAAGACGAAAATGAAGGTGTGTTGTAATAGCCTATATTTGCACGGATAGCTGAAAGATTAAAAGCATTAAAAGGCATATACTGTTGTGAGATAAGCATTATTCAATTTCTATTATTAAAGGTTCCATTATTTTAAATAAAATATTCTAGATTTTTCAAAGATTACTAGAAAACTATAAAATTCTTACTTTGCAATAAGCAGCCCTTTAAAAAAACAGTTTCTTAAAAGGCCAACAATGCAACTCTCGTGTTACAATGGGACATTATTAATCAAAACTATAAACCTAAAAAAGGCAAAGTTAATCCACTAATTAAGACAGGTTTTTTAAAGTTAGACACCATTTCATCTTTGGTGAGATGTGGTGAGAATTTATGTGCGATTTTATTAAATTCGGTACGGAAAATAAGTTATAATGTCTTATAGTAACTAAGTGGCAACCATTATCCATAGACATGTACAGCAATATAAATATCACTCCCATGGCGATGGCTTAAATCTTGAAGTAAAATTAAGAGCTTGTTAAGAAAAAAATCTCTTCTAAAATTTCTTAACATTCATTAAAATATTTAGGTATGCCCCCATCGACTACGCTAACCTCAAGCGAGGACCCACTATCTCCTCCTCTCATCCACCAGCCCGAAACGGAGTCCAACAGTCAACTTCAAACCGGCTACCAGTTGTAGAACATAATTCTGAGCGCGCTGTTCGACCGGCTCGCCTTCATCTGGGACGCGGTTAAGACTTTATGATGGAGTATATTCCGATGGTTCTTCGGATCATTCCAGGCTTGAATAGTGCAATTATCTACATAGGATTGAATGTGTGCTGTGAGGTATACTCTGAATATAATTATATAGCTATCTAGCAGCTTGATGTCGATAAAACAGCAAGTACATTCGCGGTAAACAACTTGAACAAAACCATAGACAATGATGCTTGCGCAGTACATAGTTGTGCAAGCAAAATTGTTACTGCGCAAATCGTATTGTGTTAGATGCTCAAGTTATTTGTCGTAGTCTATAGAATCGTTATGTTCATAGGCAATTTTTAGCAGCTTTACGAATACATAATAAATATATTGTAATATTTTGTTTATAGATATATTATTATAAATGCAGTACTGTTTTAATATTTTATATAATAACATTAATAAATAGACACATACCTAGTAATAGATAAATTGTTTAATGCCTTTATTTTGATTGACAAAATTGGCATATTTGAAAAAAGTATACTTGTAAACATTATGGTATAAATAAATTCTAATTTTGAAATTGAAAATCTGCTACAAGTATAGAAATTAGAGTACGTAAATTGTAATAAATTGCCAGATTAATTTTTTTGCAAATATGCTATATATATAAAAATAAAGGTTTGTATGGTGCATGGATGTATAAAATAATATATTTAATAAAGTATTTCGAATGGTAACAACATCTGTGATAACGGAATCATGATTGACCAATGTTTTAATAGAGACATATATTTCGTTTGAATTTTGTTTAATCGTAAATAGCTTATTGTGTAGTCTATTTCAATAGAGCTTAATTAATATGTAAATAAACGAATAATTAACTTAACTATAGACAGTCTACTGATCCAATAATACTACAAATAAAAAAAAACAATCAATTGATTAAATGTTTCTATTTGTTACTGCTTAATTTTACTTAAAGAGTGTTTCTGTGATAATTTTAATAAAATTTTCTTATCTATTCATTATTTTCTATTGTAATAGACTATACATATTATAATTATGACGCGTTGTGAAGACATTATGTTTGAGATTATTTTGGTCGTATCTGTATTAATTTACCAAAGGTGGTTTAATTAATGTTTAATTTAGTATTACTAATGTCGCGCCACGACTAGAGAAACCCATAACATTGTCATTGTAATACCAGTAAAAATTATCAAGAAATGTCATAAAGAGATATTACTGTTGAAAAGAAATAGGTAAGTACTATTTATATTTATAAATTCTAATATATTTTAAACATTAAAAATACTTAAAAATTACAAAACTTAAAAAAATAGAATACTTAAAAATTAAAAAATAATTTTATTTAAATTATTGTAAAAAAAAGTATATAAAGTTACACACGGTTTGTTAAACACAAATATATTATTTGAACAAAACTACTTAACAAACTTATAACTCTTGCGCAGTAATTAATTTTGTATGTAAAATTTTACTGTGCAAGTTACAGGTTGTATACCTGTACTCAAATTATTTCCCATTACCTATTTTCAAGGTTTTCTACACATTTTAAATTTATGTTAGTAATTTAACAATGCGAGGACAAGTAAATAGTACTTACATACTTAAAAATAAATTTGAATCTACAGAAAATTAAATAAAATCTCTTTTCGTGGTGACGACTTCTTGTATTTTTAACGACGGGATTAATTACATAACAAAAAAACATAAAATTTTACTATAAGTTTTTGTTTTTTTTTTTACACAAAAACTACAAGGCAAGATAATATTCTAAAAGTGCTTTATAGATAAAGCTAATTACTGTTAGTTGACGTGTTTATATAATTAAATCGACATCTATGTAAAAAGAAATGAAATTGGAAATATAAATAAATAAATAAAGTATTGTAGTTAGGGCACACAGAGCTTAGACGTGTATATGTTTGTATACAAATTAATAAATACAAAATAAGTGTAGTTGGCTTCACTGTTCAGAAAAAAAAAAGTGTAACGGAAAAGATACAATTTGAAATCAAGCAATAGTACCTAATTGTGAAATAATATATTATTAATTATGCTTAACAGGAAATTTACAAAATTATTTTTTAAATTTGGATCATTTGGCTTGTATTTTTTCCGTTACACTGCTTTCTACCAAGAATACAAACGAAAAATATTAACTATGGCAACACTTGTAAGGTGTTGCTACTTTAGTGATATAGCAGTGCAATAGACTAATACAAGCTATAGCTAATATTGTTTATAATAATTTACAATATAAATTCGAAATGGCTGCTTCTTTATTGATTGAAATGAATCTAGTCTAACCTGTAGCTAATTTTATATTGTGTATGAAGCTCGTAGCTAGTATTCACGTGAAAAATAAGGCGGGAAATAATTATTTATTTTAATTATTCATTTGCTTATATGTGTATGATATAAATGCAAATAATTTATATACATATATACCTACTTATTACGCATCACATAGTTTCCTTTTCCACTGTTTTATAAAAGAACATAGATACATACGCGGTCAAACTGCACTATGATATATATACGTATTAAAATTAAGTAGTCTCTTTAACTACATTGACGTTTTGATTGGATATAAAAAAAAATACAGGTAAAAAAAAAACAACTAATAATCTTTAACAAAAAAAAATATAGTGTGATGTAGTCTTTGATCTCAGATGCTCGTCCTGAGTTATCATAACACAAAATATCATGGCTTGAGTCCTTTGCCTCACTTTTTTTTTTATAGAACTCCCTGGCTACGGGCACAATACTATTATATTAGAATAAACAATTAATTAAAAACACATACAACTAAGTTAAACAAATACAATGCTGTATTTGTTTAATTTTACAATACCTTTTACATTTGATATTTTTAAATTAGGCTTTTATTGTATTATTTAATGACGAAATAAATTTGAAAAACAATCGTATATACTTAAGCATAATTACCTAATTGTGTTTTTATTGACCATTAATTTAGGAAATAATCTAATTTAAATACTAACATATTTTTAATTTAAGAATTTTTTTAAGGTGTATTAATTTATTTTCCGTTTCTAAATTTTATTTTTTATACCAACCACAGATGATAATATAGATACTACTTGATATAAAAGTTCTCTCTCTTTTCATTTAAGAGATTCTTCTTGTCGCGGCAACTAATTCATGCATTTTCTTCCAACCAGCTCTATCCCAGGCCATATCCTTGATCTCCCTATACGATATGACACCTAGTGCTTCCTTTATCTGTCCCATGTAATTATTCCTTGGTCTTTCCCTTCTTCTTTTGCCCTCTAAATTTCCTTCCTCTTTAAAAAATCATTATGTCATATAAGTTGGCCCAGCATTTTGCCTCTTCTGTTCTCTATTGTTTTTATTCTTGTTCTTTTCTCATTCACTCTTTTCAAGACTTCCCCATTCGTTACTATTTCTGTCCAGCCTATCCTTTCCATTCTCCTCCATGTCCATATGCCTCAAGCATCTTTCTTTCCTTTTGCGTCATTGCCCATATTTAACACCCATATAATGCTATGTTCCAAATGTAAGTTATTAAAAATGTCTTACGGATTATTTTTGATATTTTTGACGTAAATATATGTATTTTTGTTATCATAGCTCTGTTTTGTAACTATAAATATATAATATGAATATAAAAGTTATTTGCTATAAGTATTAATGTTAAAGTATTAAAGTTGTTTTATGTAAACGCAGTACATACCTAAATGAAAAAGTATACGCAGCTATAATATATATTATGTTTTTTTAGAAAATTTACTTTTCGAAATCATCTACTAGAGGTGCAGCTTCTTTTTAATTATATCTATTCGCAGTCATAACGTTCATTCAATTATTAAATTTTGTAGAACTCTCACTAGCCACTCGGATAGGTCCGTTAAATATCAGGTACGTTCTTTAATTTATACAGCGCCGCATTTAAGAACAGATTATATAGGCTATAGCCTAGAGGCTTCTACCATAAAGGGCTCCCCAACACAAATGGGCAGATTTGGTTAAAAATTAAGAAAATAAAAAAAATGGAAACTTAATTTTTTACCAATAAGCGTTAAAATTTTATTACTAGCAACACTGCCACGGCTAGAGATTTCCCGCAGCCATTTCATTTGCAGATTAATAAACAATAGTGAATATGTCAATAATTCTAGTTTCATTCCATCAATTTAACTGAATTTTAAATACTATATAGGTACCTAATAAAATGATTAAAAATCAATTTATAATATATTAATAAATATTAGGAAATTAATTTGTAATTTTAAAGTTGAAATTATAAATATAGTAATCTGCATTATACGTAAAATGGTATCCTCACCACAGATTTAGCTTAGGATCCACAGACCCTAAATGCGGCGCTGAATAATCGACAAGATGTCTCGGATTAGATTACCCCATCTGAAATTACTGTCGTGAGCATAACACACATGTTTTACTAAATTAATTGCAAATACCTTACTTTACATTTGCAGTATTTTTCTACATTATATAATAAAAAATACATAAATTAGGTAATGCAGGGTTGGAAAAATTATTTGTACTAAATCTATATTATGAATAGTGTAATGTATTTTTTGTTATTAAATTTCTATATGAATTAGGTATGACATTAAAATACAAACATATATTGAATTATAATAGCTTTCTTTAAAGAGGGGAGACCCTTTGTAGAGACTTGCATTGAACAACTTTCAATATTTATGATTTAAAAAGTGCTCTAAGAAGCGAACTTTGTCTCTGGTATTGCAAGCGTTCATTGGTTACGGTAATTGCTTACAATCAGGCGGACCGTATGCTTGTTTGCCAACTTTTTTATATACAGAAAAATTGCCATTTTCATCAAGATACTAAATCATTGATCAGTACCAGATCAGTCATGTTTTTGTTAGGCCTGTGTCTGGATGATGAAGATGATGATGACGTGATTTAACGACGATTTTGTTTTTAAATGACTTCATTTATATACTAAAGATTATGCTTTTTATTTTTCTGGTCCAGTCTTCCAGGTTTTTTGATTTTTATCATCCATTTTACAATGTTTAAGTATTGATATTAATTGTATGGCCACTATAGTATAGCTAATGTTACATATAAAATGTACCTGGAATCATTAATGGGTTTTTAGGGTTTTTATTTTTAAATATATTTTTTTAATATATTAAGACGTAAAAGATTTTATTAATTTATAAAAGATTAAAAATAGATTTATATTTTTTGTCATCGATAAGTGCATATTTTTTTTTAAAGTTTGTAATAGTTTTAACCTTAGATTATATAGACAGAGTGTCTCTATATACTTCCCCAAAAACAGTTCATCTTTTTATCCATGTGTGCATAAATAGGGTTACAAATATCTACAGTTAATTCCGCGTAGTAGGAAACATTTATAAGGTTTAATTAAAAAATTAAAACAACTTAACTATACTCTTAGGAATATATTCAAAAAAACAAAATAAACAGTGCAAAATGATGCTTAACTTTATACTGAATATTTTGATTAATATCTGAGTATAGACACAAAATATGTTTTCATTTTTAAATCACTAAAAATGTCCACCATTTCAATTAATATATGTATTCAAATTTATAAGAAACACGCACATATGTATATTTATATTAGAAAAAAAAAATAGTTCCAAATTCAAATAAAAAAAAAAATCAACTACTTGATCTTGGAAATTTTTAATCCAATTACTTGCAACACTGAAAAAAGCGCGGTTTGTTTTTTTTTTATACCTTTTTAATATTCGATGCTCTATTTATATAATCAGGTTTAAACGGAATTCATTTATGTATGTATGTGAATGTTTATAGTTTTATTATTTTATTATATTGTTAACAGTATTAATATGATTTGAATGTATTGTAATCGCTTTAAGTGAAGATAATTATTTTTTTTTTAATATCACATTGTTGATACGCAATTGTAATAATATTGAAATGTGTTGATATTTTATTGTCAATAAATGCACTTTTAGGTAATATTTGTCTCAATTTTTTATTTTTTTCACATCGTCAAAAAATTTTAGCTGTTTTTTTATGAATGATTTTTTTTTATACAACTTAGAATGGCAAACAAGCTGACGGCCCACCTGATGGAAAGTGGTAACCGTCGCCTATAGACATGAGCAGTACCATGGACATAACAGAGTATACTGTTACGCATGTTAAATAAAATAACATACCATGGCGTTGTTCAGAAATAAGGTGTTATCATTCCATACTCTGTAATTTTTTATCGTATATTATCGTTAACACGTTGCGCCCGGCGCCGGTCCCTGGGGACCGGCAGCGAACTTTCCGTGGTCAGCGTCGATCCCAGGGGACCGGCACTAGAATTTTCCGTGTGACCAGCGTCGGACATATTCAATGTTATGGGCAATAACTATTTCCAAAACTAAATTCAATTTTCTTTTTACGAACAATCTGTACACTTCGATAGGTCTTTTGTAACTGATCACCTCTCGAAGGTACGTACGTGGTTTTATTATACCTACATCATAAGAAAATATGGAATAGAATCACACATACATTACACATACACTTAAAAAACGTCCAAAATAGCGCGACAAAGAATTCTTTATCTCATTAGTACTAAAGTAATCTCTTGGCGATAGCATACAACATTGTATCTCTCGCCGGCTGCCGGCTGCCGGCTGAACGGAAAGGACAGCGAATACGGCGCCGGGCTCAACGTGTTAAGCAATCTCTTCCAGGCAACCTTTGGGTAAAGTACATTATAGGACACGGGAAATTCAGGACATTTTAAATCCAAACAAATAAAAGACATATAATTTCAATAAATTTATTAAACGACAGTCTATAATTCTGCAACAATATTCATTTAGCACCAATTAAACTAACGTATTGAGCGTGGCAATACTGATTTAGCTAATCGTAATAATAATACTATCTAATAGGAATGGGTAATATAGAGAAATATAGAGAAATATATATATATATATATATATATATATACGAGGTTTGTCCGGAAAGTACGTATAAAAGTTTTTTAAAAATTTTATTTTACAATTATTCAGGTAAATCAATTTTATCCCCTTCAAAGTACTCCCCCTGTGACATAATGCACTTGTGCCAACGCCGTTTCCACTGTGAGAAGGCTCCTTGAAAGTCCTCTGGTTGTAGGTTTCTCAGCTGCCCCGTCGTAGCTTTTTTTATCTCATTTATGTCCCCCAAATGCCGCCCCCGAAGTACCAATTTGGTTTTTGGGAACAAGAAGAAGTCACACGGGGCCAAATCCGGCGAATAGGGGGGTGTTCGGTCACCGTAATGGAATTTTTACTCAAAAACTCACGGACAACAAGAGAGGTGTGGGCAGGGGCATTGTCGTGGTGAAGAATCCAACGCCCCTCTCGCGCCAATTCTGGACGAACTCGTGCCACACGAGCTTTGAGGCGTCTGAGCACATCGACGTAGAATTTTCCATCAACTGTCTGGCCTGGAGGGACGAATTCTTGATGGACAATCCCCCGAACATCGAAAAAAACAATCAACATTGTCTTGACATTTGAGCGGGATTTTCTTGATTTTTTTGTTCGTGGTTCCCCGGATGTCTTCCACTCTTTGCTTTCACGGCCATTCTTGCCGAGTTTCGAGAGAAACTTGATTACGACGCGCTGCTCTTCAACGGAAGCGGGCTCCATGCCGACGGGGTTTCGTTAAGAGGTAACTTCACAGATGGCGTGACAAGCCAGTTCGCACCGCACGGCGGTCAGACCAGAACTGAAGCATTGTTAGGGACATAAGGAAGGGGTCCTGCGCTTACCTGGCCTCCCCACTCCTCTTTCTCGCATTCCAGAACACTTTTATACGAACTTTCCGGACAGACCTCGTGTATATATATATATATATATATATATATATATATATATATATATATATATATATATATATATATATATATATATATATATATATATATATATATATATATATATATATTTATACAAATTAGAATGGCAAACAATCTGACGGCCCACCTGATGTAAAGTGGTAACCGTCGCCTATAGACATGAGCAGTACCGTGGACATAACAGAGTATACTGTTTCGCCCATGATACCCCCCATGCGTTGCCATTCCTGAGGACTCAGGTGTTATTCCTCTGTACCCTGTAAATTCACGCCAATATATTGTGGTTACAATATCTGTATATTGGTCCAATAACGAATATACACAATATCGGTAATAACATATGTAATACCAAATAAAACATCCGATGGAATTAAAATATCCGATTGGTATGGGTGATAACCAAATAGACGATATTTTATCCGGTCGTCAGTGTCCAGAAAACCCAATATATATATATTGGCATGATATCGATATTACCCATGCCTACTATCTAACGCGATCTGATATCATGTTAGACGAATTTAGCTATTCTCAAGAACACCTTACAATAAAGGACATTTCATAATGGGTTTGTAAATAAACTATATTATATTAAATGCGGTAAAATGTACAGAAAATATGGGAATCTTTATAGGTAAAGCACGCAGGCATAGACTTAGTTTTATTTGAAAATAGACTCTAGTCACATTAGCAAAGGTTGATATTGGTATAACAATTAAACTGTGGCGTTTGTCGTGGCTTAAAATTGTCCACAACAGCCTTCTAGACAAGAGACAAATGTATCTAAATAGGTTATTTTTTCTGCTGTATTAGATAGAACGAGACAACAATGTCTGCCGTTTTGTTTCTTAAGCACACAAAGAAAACATCTGATTAAACTCTCATTTGTCGGTTGTCGCTTTGTTCTCTTAAACTTGCACTGCGCCAACGTGATTGTCTGCGTTGGCCTTAGATATATAAAATTATATGGTTATTTATACAGTTATGATATATTTATAACTGTGTACCCCATAGATAAAGAATAGTATCTATGGTGAACTTTTTTAATATTTCGACTTGACATAACCAGCCAGTTTTCCAACAGCTAAATTTTCCTAGTTTTGAATCTTTGCACTTTGAGCAGATGATTCTATTTAGGAGCAAAATATTTAAAACAGAAATAATTATACACTAAATAAGTAGGAAATACATCTGTTTATATTTCTTATAATTTTTTTTATATAATAAATTATAATTTCACTTTTAACAATTGAAAAAATATTTACAATACATTGGTATCTATATATATATATATATATATATATATATATATATATATATATATATATATATATATATATATATATATATATATATATATTGTGTAAAATATGCAGTCTCTGCTCAGTGAAAATTTGATTCAATTTTTTTTTTTTATTAAACTAACCATAAATCAGTTTAATCAAATTACAGACAACACAAATAACAGTACATATATTTATATTTAATTAGAAGGTGGGTGTACATACGGTCGAAGAGTCATTGGACAATTATTATAAATCCTTCGCATTTTAAACACATTACGAGATTTGTATCCAATAAAAATATAACTTTAAGTAGATTAAATCGGATATATATATATATATATATATATATATATATATATATATATATATATATATATATATATATATATATATATATATATATATATATAAATAATTGATAAACACACTTCATTTTATATGAATTATTTATGTAGATCTAAAATGCAAGCAATTCCATGTTCCTTCATCAATACAATGCCATAATTCAATGGAGACATAAATATAAACAATATCCATTACAAAACAAAACTACGAACACATAAAAACAACGATTAACCTATACATACAGGGGGGAAAGGGATTGTTAGTAATGGAGACTGAGAATTCCATTGCTAGCAATGTACCCAACCAGGTCGACCTCCTCGCGGTTCCCCCTGGAAACTATCATGATTAATTCCTGATGAATTCATCATGATGGGCTAACTGGCCTGTTTTCATTCTCATCTATCACCCTTCACTGGTGCCCCGCCAGCGTATCCCATTAGCGCAGTCGGAGTTACCGTACCATTTTCACCCATAAAAAAAAACCTATAGATACATATTTGATTATATGGTACATAATAATAATAATGTGTCAATCCATGTGTGTTATACATATACATATATATATATATATATATATATATATATATATATATATATATATATATATATATATATATATATATATATATATATATATATATATATATATATATGTATATGTATATATATATCTCTGAATTTAATAATTTCACGTAAGTACTGCTGTATGAACCATCACAAAGAGGGGGGGGGGGGAGTATTGTTAGTTTCTAATAGCTCCATTGCTAGCAATATACCCTATCGGGTCGACCTTCATGCGGTTCCACCTGAAAACCATCTTTGTTTTTTTTTAATGGATGATAATGGAATGGTAACCCCTCCAGCGCTTTCGGTATACACCGGCGGGGCACCAGTGAGGGATGATAGGTGAGGATGAATGCAGATCAGTTAGCCCATCGTAATTCCAAAATGTAGTTTTTAAACCGTATTTTTTTTTTGTGTTACACAATATCATCGCCAATATACCAAAATTCTTGATAAATTCTAATACAACCTTAAAGAAATCTTTGAAAGATCGTCTCGTGCATGCAGTTCTTTGTTTTTCCATTTATTTCCACCGAGGAATCGTAAAATATATGCACGAAAAGAGCCCATTTGAGACGTGCTATGAAATCTTATTGTTTTACTGAATTCGATTTATTTGTCAGCTAGCAGCTTCTTATAAAAAGCAAATAAAACTATAAATAGGAGTGGTGTACCACTAGGTCATGACGCTGTCTATATGTTGATAAATCAATTAACACGCGGGTATGATCCTATATGTATGACAGCGTAGCATACCCCTTAAAACGTGCGTACAAATAAATTGAAATGAATAATAAACATATATGGTACCTTATTCAATATCTAAAAATAAAAATAAATTATTCATAAATTTAAAATACACCCATCTTCAAAATTAATACATATTTATTATTAAAATAATAATTACCACTCTACATACATCACTCTTTGTTTTTTTTTTCTATTTATGCTGGAGCTATACCAACGTTTGTAACGAACATTCGTGCAATGACACAGTAACACGTATAAACTGACCATTTATTAGCTATCATGGCGATTATTCGGACCGCAGGTCGCAATCGTTTGGCGATATATAAATGTTTTTAGCACATCAGATACTAAATTGAATAGTGTGATCGAATTAACTATTAAAATGTTATCGTTTAATCTGACGACATTAATATTCAATTAGACTGACTCAACAGTATTATATTTTTAACACAATACGGTACGATATCGTACCATTTTACCGCCACGATACAATACAATATAATAACAAAATATTGTGTACACATTGCTCTCTTTTTACATGTATTGAAAAGATTTTAATATCTTTTGCACAATATTTTTTCTGCGCAAAAATGTATTTGAGCTTCTACTCGTGTTGCAGTGTTACGACGAAGGTAAGGACCCAGCATTAGGATAAAAAAAAAAGAGGCAGTACAGTATAGCTGCCAAATTAAGTCTTTTGTCGTTATATTATATTTAATACAACTGGTATCATTATTAAGGTTTAAACTAAAATAAGTTATATATATATATATATATATATATATATATATATATATATATATATATATATATATATATATATATATATAAATATCTAGCATACTTAGTGAAATTGCGCTTTCCTCGTTCATTTTATGTATTGTAAAATTATCTGTCACTTAATTAAAGTATTTAAGTAAATTTATTATGAATGCCGTGTGGTCCCGGCATAGAATGGACCACCCCTTCTCTGTATCACTGTCTATGTCGTAAATAACGACCATGAGAACTTAATAGTGGAGGAAGGGACCGCAGCGTCCTTCTTAAAACTAACTGTGATTGCCAACCTGCTTGCCAAATGTGACAGCTACTGGCAAAGCCCCCCTTTGTGGGGCAGACCTATGTTCAGCAGTGGACAGTTAAATGCTGATATGGACACTAGACTGTTCTAGTAGCCATAGTACAAGTTCTTTGGGCCCAGATGGTGTTATGTTATCTATTACTTATGTACAGGTTAAAAAATAAAAAGAGGAAGCGATGGAAGTTTGTTTGAATTAAAACTATCGGTAGGCCAATCGATTTTCAGATTATTCGGTGTCGATTAATCGATTAATCGGCGAATCGATTACTATGCAACAGTACAGCAAAGAAAATAATCTTTGAAATTTTATTTAAAACCCAGTACACGATGGCTCGTTATTTTGATCTGAGACGACATTATGTCTGTCTTACTCTTACTGAAGTCTTACTGTTGACATCACACTGACCGAATTACAGGTACTACAGTGACTTTTCTTTCTCAATTTACCTTTGCTAGCAATAGGATTCTCAGTCTCCATTACTAACAATCCCTTTCCCCCATCACGATGGATTAACTGACCTGTCTTTTCAGGGGGGAAAGGGATTCTTAGTTAGGGAGTCTAACAGCTCCATTGCTAGTAATGTACCCTATCAGGTCAACCTGCCCGTGATCCCCCTGGAAACCATCGTGCTGAATTTCAGGTGTATTCATCACGGTGGGCTAACTGACCTGTCTTTCATTCTCACCTATCATTCCTCACTGGTGCACCGCCAGCGTATACCGTTAGCGTAGGCGAGGTAACTATTCCATTAGGGGGGAAAAGGGATTGTAAGTAATGGAAACTAAGAATATCATTGCTAGCAATATACCCAACCAGGTCTACCTCCTCTTTTTTTTCGCGGTTCCCCCCAGAAACTATCATGATTAATTCCTGATGAATTCATCATGATGGTAGCCCATCTGCCCCACTGGCCTGTTTTCGTCCTTATCGATCACCCTTCACTGGTGCCCCGTCAGCGTATCCCGTTAGCGCAGGCGGGGTAACCACTCCATTTTCATTCAATAAAAAAAAAAAACTATTCCATCATTATTCATTACAAAAAACCCAATATATAGATATTAGTGCAATGTCGATATGACCCATGCTTACGTACACCATCATACCATGCCATAAGCCCTTCGACATGACCATGACGAGCCATCGTGTAGGGGAGTACAATGGTTTGTTGCTTTCATTCACACACCATGATCAAATTCAGACTTCGGAATGTTTACATTGGAAATTTGGAATTGTTTTTTGGTTAACAAATTTGGGATAACAAACAATTGAGAATTAATACCTAGAGACCGTATTTACTGTAAGTTTAGGCTTCACGATTTGCTGCCCCAACATAGAATGGGCCATCCCTTTATTTCCAGTAGGTGTCGTAAGAGGCGACTAAGGGAACTTAATACTCGAGGGATGGGCAACAGCGTCCCTATTAAAACATTACCAAAGCCTAACTGCTTTACCCGATCTTTTGTCAAACCACTTGCCAAGCGTGGTAACTACTTGGCAAACCCCCCCTATTTATGGGGAGAGCTTATGTTTAGCAGTTGACAATTAATGACTGACATGATGAAGACGATGCTATGATTTTATATTTTAAAGATACGTAAGTAAACGATGAAACCTTTTTGATAAAGTTCAGCATCTCTTAAACTATACCATAGGCATTTCTCATGTATTTGAATAGAATATATGTCTTTTCATATTTTTGATTATGTATAATTAAAAAAAAAAAGTAATTTACATGCATTAAAATTTTAAAAAAACATAATTACACACATTTATTTGAAATTGAAATGTGTTACCAATCTAAAGAATTTATATTATGAATGAACATATATACATACAATCCGTAAAGTATTACTTATAGGAAGCAAATATGTAAGGGTGAAGGTCTCTAGCATTAGTTCTCTCTGCCTGTCCCGTAAAGTAGCTGTCGTGAATATAAATAATACAATGATGTCACTAATACTCGCTTAACCTAACTGCAGTCACTGGTCCTTTTTCGAGTACTTAAAATTCGATGTCATACAATAATAATTTCGAAATGACAAAAACCTACTTAAACAACATTAAAATAGAATCCATATTGCAATAGCGTCCACTCAAATTATCACACCTAATTTATTTTAGGTAATTTTTTTTTCTATATCGAACCAAACACCAAACTGTCATACAAATATCCATACATTTGTATGGTATTAATGTAGCAGTCACACAAATTCGAGTTAATTTTAAAACACACTGATGCTAGCTAAGACGGCGGCGTTTGTGCACAAAGCCGGGGTTCTCACAAGATGGGGTCACTTTGGGGGTCACACTTAAAGACACGGGGGTCACAATACTTGACGCTAACATTTCAATATACTGCTTTGAATTGGACGTCGACGGGCTGAGCTGCACTGTAGCTTTGCTGGTAGATTCATTCATGCCCATGAGAGTCGCATTTAGAGTCCCATTATTTGATGGCATAATTTTTGGAAATCTATGTAAAACCGTCGATGGGCTGATATGTACTGTAGCGTTGTTGCTCGACTCCGGCTTCTCCGTGGGGGTCACACTTGTAGCTGCGGAGGTCACGATACTCAACGTTATCATTTTTGGACTGTGTTCTAAAAACGTCGATGGGGTACCGTGTACCGGAATGTCCTTGGTGTCCGTCTCGCGTGAGGGGGTCACTTGGGGGTCTAGACGCACGGGTCACATCTCCAGCGTGATCCCTGGCCCGCCGAGTCGCGTTTCTGTGACTCTGAAGCCGTGCTCGAGGAGTTGACCGGCTAGCGAGTCGACGGTCGAGCGAGGAGTGGATGGAGGGATGAGAACCATAGCATATCTGTAATAGAGTTTGAATTCTTTTCATCCCCAGAATTTTACCAGAGATATTCTATCTATGTTTCTATCATAGGTGACACGTAAGGGGACGTGGACCATTGCCCACGGTTTCGCGGTTAGAGGCCTTGTACACTACTGGATATACCTTTTTACAAATTTACATTTCCAATTTTTTTATTGTATTAAAAGAGCCTCGCGTAAAATATTTTGCCCACAACCAATCTAGAATGAACCCTTTCCTTTCCCGTGGATGTCGTAAGGGGCGACTAAAGGAATATAATGTTCAGAAAATGGTTTTTTTTTATACAATTTAGAGTGGCAAACAAGCTAACGGCCCACCTGATGGAAAGTGGTAACCGTCGCCTATGACATGAGCAGTACCATGGACATAAAAGAGTATACTGTTTCGCCCATGATACCACCGATGCGTTGCCATTTCTGAGGACTCAGGTGTTATTCCTCTGGACCCTGTAAATTCAGGCCATATCCCACCCTTCAAACCGAAACACAGCCATGCAAACACAACTGCTTCACGGTTGAAACACGAATGGGTAGCAGCGTTCCTCTTAAAACATCACCAAAAGTCAACTGCGGCTGTTAATGTGCCTGCCAAGCGTGGCAACTACTAAAATCCCCCTTATGGGAGGGGCTCATGTCCAGCAGTGGACAGTAAGGCTGATATGGTGATGATGATTGACTTAGTTTACACTGACCCGCCGCCGCCGGCGCCGGTGAGCTTGCAGGCGAGCGAACGCTCGCGCGCCGCGCTGCGTATGGTCTCGAGGGCGGGGTGCGACACGCCCAGCGCCGCCAGCAGGCAGTGGTTCATCTCCCACAGCTCCTGGAAACATCACATGACCGGTTCTATGGTTCATCCATAAAATTACTAATAATAATCTTTGGGTATTGATGATTAATGGACAGTTTATATATACATATATATATATATATATATATATATATATATATATATATATATATATATATATATATATATATATATATATATATATATATATATATATATATATATATATATACCATACCACATAATCGATTTATACAATTAATCAAAAATAATTAACATATTTGACCGTGTGGTCCCGGTATAGAATAGACCATCCCTTCCTTTCCCGTGAGTGTCGTAAGAACCGACTAAGGGACAGCGAGGGATGAGCACCAGGGTTCCTCTTTAAACATTTCTAAAGCCTGTGGCTGCCAATCCGCCTACTAAGTGTGGCAACTACTGGTAAAAACCCTCATTTTGGGGGAAGCCTGTGCCCAGCAGTGGACAATAGACGGCTGATAATGTGATGATGATGATAAGGAGATTCTAACTCACCGCTAAATGTTGGTAGTCAGACTCGGTATCCGATTCACACTTGCCACTTGAGATTTTTTCCAAAACCTGTAATGAAAGAAATAATATAATTATTGATACGACATATATGTGTGTACTGTCGTGTCGTAAGAGGCGACTAAGGGTTGATAGTCATCGCCTTACTGTCCGATTTGACCCACTGAAACTGCGCATAGATGTTGCATCTCTGTGCATCTTCTACCGAATTTATCATAGGGAGTGTTCTGAGGAATTGTTCGGATTGATACCTGCTGCTGATTTTCACCACCATACAACCCGCCACAAACTAAAGTTTCATCCCAACCATCTGGACGAGTGGCGGTCCTCCACCGTGCGTTTTTCAAGGCACTTTCTTCCACGCACAACCATTCTTTGGAATCAACTTCCAGCAGCAGTATTTCCGAACCGATACTACAACATAAACTTTAAGGAAAAAGTATATTCCTTTTTAAAAGGCAGCACACCTGCGATGCCGCTGGTGTTGTGGGTGATCATGGGCGGCGGTAGTCACTTACCATCAGATGAGCCGCAAGTTCGTTTGCCCCCTATGTTGTAAAAACAAAAGGGAGAGCGAGCGATGGGCAGCAACAGCGTCCCTCTTAAAACATCTCTAAAACCTAACTGATGTTACCAATTCGCCTGCTAAGCGTGGCAACTACTGGCAAAATCTCCCAAGGGGCCTCCCCCTTGGGAGATTTTGAGTAAGCGGGTTTACCATTCCATTATCATCTCCAAAAAAAAACCTCCCCGCTTGCTACTACTAACCTGTGTAGCAGTATGCGCCAGGTGATCGCACGCCTCCATGATGTGGTCCACAGCGCCCATGTTGCGCTGCCTCAGGGCTGCCACTTTGACGACTAGCGCGCGCGTTTCCCGCGATACACGGGAATCCACGAGCAATACCCGGAGGTTCAACCGTATATTCAGTACTCGCGGTTTGCCGCCTTTTTTGAATGACACCATAGAGCCGAAGGTGCATGTCGCATTGTCAATGCCTAAAAAAAAAACATTAAATAGCTGTAATTTATTTCTCTCTTTATTACCAGTCAACCTTTGAGAGTATCAGTGTTTAAGCTGTTAAAGCGCTAAGAGGTGACAAACATACAAACACACTTTCACATTTATTATATTAGTACCCAAAGATTACTAAAACAGATGCCACTAACCATCATATCATGTATTTTTTTTTAATTAACTGTAAATTCCGCATCTTAACAACGCTTTTGAACCGAGCCGGCCTTGACAGCTTCTACAATCTTTACCTTCGATGTTTAATGCTAATACTTCACTTATGACTTAATGTTCTGACACTTGGACTCGAGTCGCTTCCGGAGTGGGTGTAAACTTCAAACGCGCTTGTGTTCATAATCCCCAGTGGCGTAGTCAGAACGACTTACGTTCTCTTACAGATCACTTTTATATATTCAATCGGTAATTCTAAATAAAATGTAATTATTTCAGATTTTTCGCTTCACAAACTTCAAAGTTAAAAGGGGAGGGGTGGATTTTTCTCATATTTTCAAATAAGTCAGAAATCATAATCATATCCTTTTTATCCACGTACCGCTCGCCATCGACAGGGAATTCATCCTCACACGCTTGATCCTAAATGGTCAAGTATAGTGCGGTTTTAGAGAAGTTTTATTTATTTATTTATTATTTATTTACCACATTACAAAAAAAATGTCTGGTACAGAAGGTGGACTTCATGCTATATAGCATTCTCTCCCAGTTAACCTTTGGCAAAATAGAAATGTAATTATGCGGTGAAAATTGAGATGTAGATAAACAATTACATGTACGTATCAATCTTGGGTATTCTCCTGCCAACACTCAGGCTGTGGAATGAGCTCCCTGCCGAGGTTTTCCCTAGAGACTACAGTATGGGGCTCTTCGGAAAGACTATATTAAGGTGACACCTTTAGTGTTGCAGGCGTCTATAGACTACGGTAAACGTTTACCATCAAAGGGCAGTATGCTTGTTTGCCGCCTTCGTGGTATAAAAACAATCATAAGTCAAAAACTATAAAGTACAAAAAGTAGTTTTAAAATGTACAAATTCAGCTCTTTTATATGTGCGCCCTTCCTTACCCATGGGAGTATTAAGAGACGACGACTAAGCGAGGGCGTGGGATGGGCAGCAGCGTCTCTCTTAAAACATCTCCAAAGCCTAACTGCTGTTACAAACCCGCCTGTAAAGCGTTGCAACTACTAGCAAAACCCCAAAATATGTTCAGAAGTGGACAATATGCGGCTGATATGATATGGTATGCTTATTTCTCTGTTTGCCCAATGGTTGACTGGTAGAGAACACCGTCCGGTGTTAAGTCCGCCTTATTCGCATGTACATAGTTCCAATGTGCATTAAAGTTTAAATAAATAAATATGGTATATATGCTCAAATAAGATTTTTTTTATACCACTGAGGTGGCAAACAAGCATACGGCCCACCTGACGGTAAGCGGTTACCGTAGCCTATGAACGCCTGCAATACCAGAGGTATTACGCGCGCGTTGCCGACCCTGAAGGAAACCTCTTTACCCCCCTTTTGAAGAAAAAGATGCTGTTTCCCCAGTTGTGTTCCTGATCTTCGAACTTAAAATCTGGTGGGCATATCCAAACTGCACGCGTACGATGTCGCAGGCTGACGTTAGTTAATACAATTCCCAAAACTATGCGCATACCTTGACCAACTACCTTGACACCAATGTTTGTACATACAAACAATCGCATATTTCCAATAAGCATATTATTCAATAAAGTGTAGCGTGTATTCTATCATGACCTTCTATCTAACGACTAAATGTATTGTAGGTACATTACTTCAATTATATACGTTTACAATCGACTTCAAAGATGCGAGGTTCACAATTCCACTGCATTTGAACTGACTTCAAATGGAATTGACTTCGAAAAATTCTCGGTTTCGGATTCGGATTCGGTTATACTTTTTTTTGCAGCTGTCGGATTTATTGTGGCACACGATTTAATTAAACTATATTATATTAACGCCGTGTGGTCCCCGCATAGAATGGGCTACCCCATCTTTTCCCGTAAGCATCGTAAAAAGCGACTAAGGTAACTTAATGGTCGAGGCATGGAGAGCAATGTCCCTCTCAAAATATCGGTAAAGCCTAATTTCGATTGCCACTCCAAGCCAAGCGTGGCAACTATTGGCAAAACCCCTCAATTTATGGCAGAGGCCTATGTTCTACCAGAGGGAGACTTTGTACAAAAGTCGATTGCTTGGGTACCTCTGTCCCATTCGTGTTTCTACCGTGAAGCAGTTGTGTTTGCATGGCTGTGTTTCGGTTTGAAGGATGGCATATGGCAGTGAATTTACAGGGTACAGAGGAATAACACCTGGGTCCTCAGGAATGGCAACGCATGGGGGGTATCATGGGCGAAACAGTATACTCTGTTATATCCATGGTACTGCCCATGTCTATAGGCGACGGTTACCACTATCCATCAGGTGGGCCGTCAGCTTGTTTGCCATTCTAAGTTGTATAAAAAAAATGTTTAACAGAGGACAGATAATGGATGATATGATGATGTTATATTATATATTTTATTATATATGTAAGTTGTTTTTCGTGTTTCTGCGTGCGGGATTGCCCCAATACATGTTAAGAGCTCGGAGAACAGGTCTTTAGGAATTTCATGTGAGCCAAGGTGACCTACCGTAAAGGGCAGACATCCCATACAAATTATATACCAACCCGTATCGCTTGTCAAATTGTGACTTTTCTCGATACGGGATCAAGTAAGATTTTGCTCCGCAAAGAAATACGAGCACAACAATCGTCACAAAACTAATTTGGGACTTTTTGGATTTCGAATCGGTTTATGTCAACGTAATTGCGTAGTATAAGTACACAGAGAAAACAAACTGTCGAAGTGATCACTTCTGGTGATAATATCAATGGTAGTTGATCTTGTAATGTTGATAATCCCATGTATACTACCATTTACCATACTGTAACAGCTGCTAACTGACCACTGCTGAACATAAACCTTTTCCATGTGGGGGAGAAGGATTTGCCAGTAGCTGCCACGCTTGGCAAGCGGATTGGCTACCGTAGACTTTGGTGATGTTTGAAGAAGAATGCTGCTCCCTATCCTTTGACAATTAAGTTCCCTTAGTCGTCCATTGCGATACTGAGGGAAAAGAAAGGGCCAATCTATGCCGGGATCACACGGTGAAAATATATACAGTAGAAGCTCTTTATTCGAGGGCGTATACGTTCCGTAAATATACCGCTAATACAGAAACCGTGAATATAGAAAGCCGAACCACTTATACAGCGGCAATAGCATTTGACAACATACTTTAGGCGTAGTTATAATAAAGTTTGTTTTACTTTTTCATTAGTTCATTTCTCGACGCGTTTACAAAGTATACCTAATCCTTTTTAATAATATGTACCGATTAGATCCGCGAATATAGAAATCTTTAGCCGCGAATATAGGAATTGGGTCTTTTTTTTATACAACTTAGATTGGCAAAAAAGCTGAAGGCCCACCTGATGGAAAGTGGTAACCGTCGCCTATAGACACGAGCCAGTACCATGGACATAACAGAGTATACTGTTTCGCCTATGATACCCCCCATGCGTTGCTAATCCAGAGGACTCAGGTATTATTCCTCTGTACCCAGTAAATTCACGCCATATCCCACCCTTCAAACCGAAACACAGCCATGCAAACACAACTGCTTCACGGTTGAAACACAAATGGGACAGAGGTACCCAAGCAATAGACTTTTGTACAGTCTCCCTCTGGTCTGGTCACAATATTTTAATCCACGAATAGTGAGAACGCGAATAAAGGAAGCGTGAATAAGGAACTGTTTAAACAAATATAAATTATGTTTTTTAATGGAATAACCAAATACAATGAACATTGAACTTACAAATTGTAAACAATCAGTAAATACGTAAGTCGTTTGCATTTAAACATATGTAGTAAAAAAGTTACATGCACAATTAGTTGTAGGTTAGAGGGATCATTGTATTCTACAGAAATATACACTGAGACGTAAGTGCATGACGACAGTGACGGTTACTAATAGAAAAAAAAAAAAAACGTCTAATCTTAACAAGGGGAGGGAGTTGTAAGTATCGGGAACTAGCAATCCTATTGCTAGCAAAATAACCTGTCAGATCGACCTTTGTATGTACAAAAGTCGATTGCTTGGGTACCTCTGTCCCATTCGTGTTTCTACCGTGAAGCAGTTGTGTTTGTATGGCTGTGTTTCGGTTTGAAGGGTGGGATATGGCGTGAATTTACTGGGTACAGAGGAATAACACCTGAGTCTTCAGGAATGGCAACGTATGGAGGGCGAAACAGTATACTCTGTTATGTCCATGGTACTGCTCATGTCTATAGACGACGGTTACCACATTCCATCAGGTGGGCCGTCAGCTTGTTTGCCATTCTAAGTTGTATAAAAAAAAAACTCCAAATGCCAAAAATCTTCAGCATCAAAATTTAAGGTGCCTCTAAAAATCTCAAAACGACTCACCCGAAGGCGATCCGTGCATGATCCTCTCGCAGTTGTACGCCCATTCGGATATAATCTCCTTCTCCGTCATCGTGAAGTCTTCGCTCTGGTCGTAGTAATCATAGCTGGCACTCTTCAGCTTCATGAGCCTAATCAGCGCGCCGGCGAGACACACCGCGAACGACGCCGAGCTACCGGTGCCCGCACCAATCGTGAGCTCGGAACCCATTGATATATTCATCGACTTCACTGGAAGATGCGTGCTCCCGTATATCCCGGAGAAAAGGTACAAGAAACTCCTCAAGGAGTTCTTCTGATTGTTTTGCAGCGTGTCAAAGTTTGGTTTGATGATGTGTAGCAGGTCTTCCACTTTCCGTAAATGCTTTTCGTGGTTCAACTTGTCGGGGAGACGCCACGAGAATTTGCCCGTGACGTTTGGACTGAGCTGAGGGTTGAAGAGGGCCTCCACCATGGGCTTTAGGGGAAGGGTCTCCTGGAGGTCGACGCATGGTAAATGGATGTTCACTGTTGGATCTCCGGTGCTGTGCACCTCCTGGAAGAAGAAATTGGTGTTCAATCGATCAATCATTTATTTGCTTTAAAATAACTCATGTTATTCTATGCTGTTCATATTATTATTGAGATTTTTTTTAAGAATGTTTCGATAGTATAAATTGAAAAATTATGTATGTATGTATTTATTTTATGTATGTATCAAATAATAATAATCTTTATTTAAAACAGTAAGTTACGGAATTGCTTAACTATGGTCCCCATATGGGTCGAGCCTGTATCCGGGGAACCTATTAAATTATATACACTTTTATAAATTTGATATTCTTTTTATAAATTGTTGATATATATTAATTAAAAATATACATAAAAAAGACTTCAATTTTTTTTTACGCAAAATCTACTGAACTTATTTGAATTAAATTGGCCACACTGGTAGGTTAACCTAACTTAGCAAATAGGATCCATAATGTACTGATTTACACAGACAAAGTCGCAGGACATAGTGATAAAAACTAGGCCTAATCTAACCTTCTTTATTCCAAATACTGCAAGTATACCAGACTTCATCGCGATTTGTTAAGCTTTTGAAGAAACTGAGAGGTATTTTAAATACACTATAGCAACTGCACGCGGTAAGAAATTTTTGCAGGTAAAAATTATACCTCTATACCTGTTCCAATCCTGTCGTGACACCGTCGTGGTGCAATCCACGTCGAGACGCCGACAATAAAGAAGCAGGTATGTAGGTACTATTTACCTGCAAAACTTTTCATATCCCGATAGTGTATTTAAAATACGTTTAAACAATGTGAAAGTTTAAACTTAACAAAGATGTAAACTTATATTCACTTTTATAATATTACTAGCGACCCACCCCGGCTTCGCACGGGTGCAATGCAGCTATGTCCCTGCATTTTAATTCTGTAATATCTTCAAAAATATTCATTTAAATTACATGCTGTAAAGGGCCATATTGATCTATATTAAATGGACAATGTATTTAAGGTACTTAATTGGATAAAAATTAATGCTGTATTGCTTAAAATCACTTCGTAAATAAACCATTATTCCCCTTAAAATGTAAAGGATAAGAAATGGTTACTGTGGGTTAACGTTAAAAGATAGACATACCATATACCATACCATCGCGGACTTTTTTGTTGACCTTTTTAAGGTGTACAATATTGTAGTACATTATTTTGATTTATCTCGTGCGGTTCAGCCAGCGTTTACAATGTAAGCGCAAAAAATGTGTTTATTTACGACATCACATTAGAAACCTTTAAATTTATCAGTGTTTCTCTACTATATTATGCATGTATTACACATATAAACCTTCCTCTTGATTCGCTCTATCTATTAAAAAAAACCGCTTCAAAATTCGTTGTGTAGTTTTAAAGATTCAAGCATACATAGGGATGAACAGACAGCGACAATGACTTTTTTTATACTATGTAGTGAAAAATAAATTCATTTACGTGTTGCATGTCCGGATGTCATTTATTTTTTAGAATACAAAAAAGGCGGAAAACAAAGTTTATAAATATACAAAAATCACAGAATAGTCGTTAGCGGCAGTCACCTTCGCCATTACTAAAATTATTTTGATAAAACTGTTTGCAATCGATAGGGTTAACTCCTATGTTGGTGCCATATTATTGTCTTTTTTATCCTTTCTTCGCACGATTATTGTTATTGGTGAAATAAATAAAGGTGATATATAATTCATGTTCAAAATTAAAGGAAAAATAGTTAATAAAATAAATTTGACAGCTATGATTTTTTTACTGCAATCGACATTAAAAAGGTATCCGGACACGATCAACTTAAAGTGAACTTGTTCTTTTAAATAATTTTTGGGCATTCAATGTTATGACGGAAATTTCCACCATTATGCAAAGAAGGGTTAAAGGGTGAAAATGGTATGGTAATCCTGTCCGAGCTATCGGTAAACGCTGGCGGGGCACCAATGAAGGATGATAGGTGTAGGATAAAAGCAGGTCAATTAACCTATTACGTCAGGAATTCCACGGGGAATCGCTTGGAGATCAATCCGATTGGGTATTTTGCTAATAACGGAGCTGTTAAACTATATTTAATAAAAATCCCATTGGCTTCATAAACCAATATTTATTTTAATATTTATTTTATTTCATTTATTTACATAGCGCTTATGAAGTCAAATTTTTACATTATAATTTTATTTTTTCCCTACCGTCCATTTAATAGCGTTAGCAGTTTTTTTAATGGGTAGACAATGGAATGGTTACCCTGTCTGCGCGGGGTGGAGGGGGAGGGTCGTTAGTAATACGGACTACCGGTCCCATTGCTAGCAATATACCCCGTCAAGTCGACCTGCATGTGGTCCCCTTGGAAACCATCTATATTGCTAGTTATAGAATTGTTAAATCCCGTTTACTAACGATCCCTTTCCCACCAACGTTAGCAGTTACCATTCATAAAAAAAGAGCACCTGATGAAAAGTGGTAACGATAGAGTCAAAACCGCTGAGAATATAGAATATACTGTGCCGCCTATGGCACCTCTTATGCGATGCCACTGCAGAGGACAAGGTGTGATATCTCGATTTTTTTTTTATACAACTTAGAATGGCAAACAAGCTGATGGCCCACCTGATGGAAAGTGGTAACCGTCGCCTATACACATGAGCAGTACCATGGACATAACAGAGTATACTGTTTCGCCCATGATGCCCCCCATGCGTTGCCATTCCTGAGGACTCAGAGGTTATTCATTTGTACCCTGTAAATTCACGCCATATCCTACCCTTCAAACCGAAACATATATATATTACTAGCTGACTCCGTAAACGTTGTTTTATTACTTATTGCGAAATATAAAAATCGCGATTAAAATACAGGGGTTGATCGTAAAACGATGAAAATTTAAAGTTGTATGTATTTTTCAATGCTAAATCATATTAAAATAAAATCACAAAATTTTTTCAAAAAAAATTAAAAAAAAATGTTTTTAGTGGTGGGTCTCCCTTATCATTGTGGGGTATAAAAAATAGATGTTGGCCGATTCTCAGACCTACCCAATATGCACACAAAGTTTCATGAAAATCGGTAAAGCTGTTTCGGAGGAGTTTGGTAACAAACACCGCGACACGAGAATTAATTATAATATTAGATTAAATGAATAGCAATTACAATTAATCAAGCATAAAATATCTATATTTGAACGTGAGAGCAAACATTATGTACCGACGAGTAGCATAATGCCATATTATTTTACACATATCCAATTTATGTATTTATTCAACAATTAATGTAGCCATTTTGTTTTTGCAGGTGCATCGTTCCTTACGTCATAACACATTGAAGAATATTTTTTTTTATATTTCATGTATTTATTATTTATTGAAAGACGGGCTTCAGACACAAAACCGTGGCGTGGTAACCGTCGCCTATAGGCGTCTATAGACATGAGCACTACCATGGACATAACAGAGTATATTGCTTCACCCATGATACCCCCCATGGATTGCCATTCCTGAGGACTCAGATGTCATTCACTTGTACCCTGTAAATTCACGCCATATCCCACACTTCAAACCGAAACATATATATATATATATATATTATACACATATATATATATTTATTATTTATTGAAAGACGGGCTTCAGACAGAAAAAACCTATGACACTGACACATCACCTTTCCATGATGTGTGCTCGCCCCTTTTTTAAATTCACTGCTTATTCCTATTAACAATAGGAATATTAGGACGTTTTTATGTAGCGATATTTGTTAGCTCCTCAGGACATTTGAAGTAACGGCGAGTGTACAACATAATCAAATAATTTTTATCTGAAGGAGCCAAAAATCTTTTTAACACTACTATATGTACGGAACCCTCGGTGTGCGAGTTCAACTCACACTTGACCGTTTTTTTCGTGGAATAATTCTCAACTGACTTAGAAAAAGGAGGTTTTCAATTCAGATAATTGTTTTTATGTTTGTCACCTCATAACTCCGACAATTGTAAATCGATTTGTAAAATTCTTTTTTTTTATCTGAAATTATAATAATAATAACTTTATTGTAGCTAATAATCGAGTACACAATTTGTTATACAGTGATCACTACACTAGGCTCGCAGGCCTGTATCGTAGTAGCCAGTGAGTGGCTAATTAAGTTAGTCCATATTTATTGCCATTTACATGCTGGTTCTTGTACAATTTTATCATTTAGGTACTCGAAAATTAATATACATTTGAAATGAAATAATAAAAAATAAAATACATAACTAAACTAGAAAAAAAAAACGAGAAAAAAAAATGCAAAATATTTGAGGTTCCATAAGGTACTTATTTCTAAAATTAATATTATTATTATCTAAAACAGATTGGTCCCATACAAATTTTATCAAAATCCCCGTCCAGTTGTTTAGTTTTTACGTCATAATAACTAGTTTTGTCACAATTGAAGTGCTTTTTTTGTTAGATCTTTCATCAGGTGGGCCGTCAGCTTTGCCATTCTAAAAGTCGCATAAAAAACGTTTGACGCTCATGTTTAAATTATGTTTTTTGTACATATACATACATTTATTTACATTTTGTGTATGTTAATTTTATTTGTATTCTATTTATTTTGTATTTACGCTAAGTTCTTTATTTATTCTTGTACCTTTGCTGCACTACCCGCTAATGATTTTCTCTATCGATGGATTGGCTGGAAGAGATCTATTTCAGAAATATACCCACCCTTGCTGACAAGTTGTTAAACTAATTGCTGTATCTTTTGTTGTCGTCGATGAGGATGAAAACAGGCCTGTTAGCCCATCATGATGAATTCATCAGGAATTAACCATGATAATTTCCAGAGAGAACTGCAAGGAGGTCGACCTGGTTGGGTATATTGCTAGCAATGGGATTGTCAGTCTCCATTACTAACAATCCCTTTTCCCCCTAGGAAAAATGGTTAATAAAATAAATTTGACAGCTATGTTTTTTTTCTACAATGGACATTAAAAAGGTATCCGGACACGATCAACTTAAAGTGAACTTGTTCTTTTATATAATTTTTGGGCATTCAATGTTATGATGGAAATTTCTACCATTATACAAAGAAGGGTTAAGAGCTTATGTCTAAAATTTTCCTTAATAAGTTATATTTGTTATGTTATGTTGTCATATAATAATTTCACTATTGCCTGTGACGATATAACATTGGGTCACAGTGTTACATTTCTGATATCTTTATATAGGTGTCACGCTTCGAATTTGTATGCTAACCGTGTATGTCCGTATGTCCATCGAGTTGGCTGAATGTGATGTCATGATATGTAATGTTTTTAATACTTATAACCTGGTGTTTGTAAGTTTTTATCCTTGTATTCTCGGTTTAGAGTACGAATGGATAATTGATCCAATAACTGATATATTATTTAAGATTTGGCTTATCCCAATTATTGTTTGTTTACGACCGTAATATGCCTGCTCGACGTTTAGTTTTTATATTATATATATATATATATATATATATATATATATATATATATATATATATATATATATATATATATATATATATATATATATATATATATATATATATATATATATATATTAATTTGTTTTTCAATTTTAGTTTTTTTTTTATAAAAAACTATATCTATCAATGTATGTAAAAAGGTTCAATTTAAACAGTTACAAAATGAAGAAACCGATTGAAATAAATCTAGATATCCGTCTGGTCTCATACCAGATATATGTAATAGATGCTGGCTCTCTAAACAAGCGGCAAACGAACGACTTCAAAAAGGCAAGAGGTTCACAATTCGGTGTTTTTTTTTTTTTATTTTTGTTACCTCATGTTTATACATTTACTCTTTAGTGCACCATTTAAAGAATAATACAATATATATATATATATGAAGTACAAATAGCGGTTTTATCGCTAAAGCAATCTCTTCCAGACAACCAATGGGTAGAGGGGAAAAGAAAAAGGCGGTAGCTATTAATTATTAAAATTTAAAAGGCCGGCAGCACACCTACAATGCCGCTGGTGTTGTGGGTGATCATGGGCGGCGGTAGTCACTTACCATCAGGTGAGCCGCATGTCCGTTTGCCCACTGTGTTGTAAAAAAAATTAATTATCATCATGTCAGCCTTTAACTGTCCACTGCTGAACATAAGCCTCCCCTTAGGGGTATTTTGCCAGTAGTTGCAACTATAACACATGGGGGGAAACCAGCTGAAAGTTGATTCCAAAGAGTAGAAGCAAGTGCCTTGAAAAACACCCTGACAGAAAACCAGTAGCCGCCGCTTAAACAAAAACAGCACCGTGGATATACTGCGACGCCAACGGTAGGTTGGTATTCTAATGTGTTAATTAATTCATACACGCCATAGATTTAGATCTTACAATTCGCGTACAGTATTATGGTATGGACATGCATGTATGGAGAACCATCGTCGAATCACCATTAATATAGCGAACCACAAATGTCCCACTACTGGGCATGAGTTTTCCCTATAAAAGATAGACATTAACCTATATGAGGAGGGGGAAAGGGATTGTTAGCTATGGAGTTTCACAGCCCCATTGCTAGCAATATGCCCTATTAGGTCGACTTCCACGTGGTTGGCTCTGGAAACCATCGTGAACAATTCTTGTTGAATTCGTCACGGTTGGCTAACTGACCTGCTTCATCCTCATCTATCATCCTTCACTGGTGCCCTGCTGGTGTATACCGATAGCGTTGGTGGAGTTACCATTATCACCCATTACAAAAAGTCCTATATGAGGATATAATAAAAATTTCGAATTTTCTATAATTATCTCATAATTTAGTACTGTGTGTCTGTCTATTTTGCCCTCCAACTCATTTCTTGAACATTCTAGACGAAAAGAAGGATTCTACGCGGAGAAGAATATTATCTATATATGTAAACTATATCATGTCATCATGAATGTTGGTATATGAACCGATTTGAAAATAAAATCTATGGAACCAATCTGTAAGTATATCCTTTCAGATAAATAAAAAAAAAGAATTTTCCAAATCGATTTACAACTGACGAAGTTATGAGGATAAAAATATTATATTTTTATACTCATAACTCCAAAAAAGAAAATCGAATTGAAAACCTTATTTTTGAAGTCGGTTGAAGAATAACTAATACACTACAAGGACATAGTTGATTTTTATTAAATAAAAATTAAAAAAAAAAAATATACACGATATAATTTATAGAATGGGATAGATTAATTTATGTTTAATTATCTTTTATAAAAAAAAAAGACGTTCAAAATTTCCAATTAAACCTAATCGAAATAATAAACCTTAATATGAATCGACTATAAGTTAAAAACAATACTATTGTAATTCCGAAGTTTCATCACCAACCATCAAATCTTACCATAAACTAAAGCCACATATCTACAGCATGAAATTCGAAAACTAGAAAAAAAAATTACCTTAATCACGATCGAACTCCTAAGACCGAGGCTCACCGCTATCGCCGTCTTCCCATAGACCACCGAATGTTCCCCGTGGAGGATCACCTTGCCGGGTGCCGACACGCTCACAGTATACAAGTCCATTCCGTTAAACATCTTGTCCCTTTCACTCACAACACAAATGCATAGGATAGAAGAAAAACTACAAGAGTATTATTCCATTGTAATCCACTTAAATATATTACAGTTTAAGATTTCTGCTTGTACTGTTCTACTGTTAATGTCTTTTGGGTGAACGCGTGTATGGTCTTCAACTCCTCTTGCAGGACTGTATTAACCAACCTGCGAACAAAAGTTTATATGTAGTCGCTTCGTCGTGTAACATCTGATTTACTTACGGAGTTCCGCATTATGATCGGTGAACGATTGGCTTACACGTGTAAACTATCTTATTATATTTCGAAAAAGCAACAGCTGAGTTTCTTGCCCGTCCTTCTTGGCTGAAATCGCGTTTCGAAGTAGCGGTAATGATAAAATTACAATTTTTGGATGCTTAATGCAAGTTTTTATTTTATTATTATTATTTCAGCCGTTAAATGTCCACTGTTGAACATAAGCTGTCCCCATAAGGGGAGTTTTGCCAGTAGTTGCCACTCTTAGCAGGCGGGTTGGCAACCGCAGTTAGGTTTTTATAGATGTTTAAGAGGGACGCTGCTGCCCATCCCTCCACCATAAGCCTTAGTCGCCTTTTACGACACCCACGAGAAAGGAAGTGGTGGTCCAATCTATGCCGGGATTGACACGGCGATTTTGTAAGTTTACTTGAAAAAGGATATTTCTTTCTTTTTTTATTGTTAAGTTTCGAAAGTATACTTTATACTCGTATTTTGACTGTAAGAAAAACTGTATTCACTTACATGTACAATATTGCTTTGACTCGACTTGTTTCAAAACCATCCGAGATTGTGGGTCTCGGATAGTTCCAAAAACTAAGTGTACATTCTCGACTAAAATACATAATTTCAGATACTTTGCGCGGCGTCAAAACTAAGAATCGTTAATTGTACAGCTGTGCATGCATTTCAGATGGGAAAATAATCTAGCATCTGATTCAGACCATTCATCTGAATCAGCTGTTTTCGTTTTGGCCATATTGTCCCTTTCACCCTGCACACATTTCACATTATATAGGGCATACATTATTACATAGATATATCTATCTATCCTATTTAAGAGCTGTAAGTGGAGCTCTTGCCACTCACTACGATTTTCAGCGAGTCTCTTCACCTCTTGATACGACACGACACCAACTCCTTCCTTGATCTGCCTGATGTAACTATGCCTTGGTCTCCCTCTTCCCCTTCTTCCTTCTATCTTTACCTTCTATTATAATGTCCATAAGTTCGTCGTGTCGTATCAAGTGTCCCAACATTTTTTCCCTTCTGTACTCAATAGTTTTTATAATTTGTCTCTTTTCCTTAACTCTAAGCAAGACCTCCTCATTACCAATTCGATAGATATAGGGAACCTAAAATCTTTTAAGATTTTTTAAGAAAGCAATTTTTAATTTATGCTAATCATTTCAAAACCAAATCGTTCGAACTTTTGTTACCGTATCTGCCTCTCTCCTATCTACATGATCTTATTTTTATTTGCGACGTCACATTGTTGAACTTAGACCTTTATTTGAATTTGTTTGAAAAGGCTTTGTTAGTTGCTTTGACGTTTTTATCGATTAGTGAAATAAGACTAACAAATACAAGTAGTTCCTTGTTAGCGACTGATAATATCAAATATTGTTCAGGAGTCATTTGTGTGCGCCGTTCGGTTCGCGCAATATTGTAGTTATTATGTAGAATCTTATCACATTCTATATTAAAGCAGTGGATTTTTCAACCGACTTTAAAAAAGGAGATACTAAATCAAGTATTTTTTATGTTTGTTACCTCTGAACTACGTCATTTATAAACAGATTTGGCAGTTATTGTATTTTTACCGTATGCTTCCAGCTTCCAGAATAGACCATACTTTCCTTTACCGTGGTTGTTGTAAGAGGCGACTAAGGGAACTTAATGGTCCAGGGATAGACAGTGGAGTCCCTCTTAAAACATTACCAAACTCTAACTGCAGTTGCCAAATGTGGCAACTACTATGGCCTATGTTCAGTAGTGGATAGTATATGGCTGATATGATGACGATATTAGTTTTTAAATCAAAATAACTGGTGTTGCTAAGATTGAAGTCAAGAGAGAAGAGAGAAGAACAAGCTGATGACTCTTGACTAAAGGAAAATGGTAATCATCGCCTATAGACATAAACAGTACCAAAGACATAGAATATACACTGTGGTACTCCTGATGCGTTGCCATTCTTGAGATTTACTGTCTATGGAAAAGTAAAGGTAAATATATACTCGTTAAGCTTGGTCTTACCTATGGCGAGCTAAAAGTGGTTTCCCATTGAACTTATCAGACACGATGAGCACAGAAAACTTAGCGCCACAGCCGTCGCTCTCGTCCGTCACCTCCTGGAACAAGGAAAGAGAGAATATTAGTTATTTTTAAGCATGGCGTTAAAAGAGGCGACAAAGAGAAGGCAGCAATGTCCATCTTAAAACAACTCCAAAGTCTAACTGTGGTTGCCAATCCGCCTGCCAAGCGTGGCAACTACTGGCAGAACCCCCCATGGGAGAGGCTTATGTTCAGCTGTGGACAGCTAAATCCTGATATGATAATCATAATTATGAAGCAAGGCGTAATTTTAGGATTATTTTCAGAAGGAGGGAGAGTTAGTCTTTAAAAGACGCATACATACTCTAAGAAACGTCTTTGCAGAACTTTACTTATACCCTGAGGTGGGCACCAGATATTTTTAAATTGGACTTGACCCACCCAGTCACCCCCTCCCCCTCAAAATACATGATAATAATATACATGACCCGATCGATTACATAATAATTCGGGACGCATTACTCTCCGCAGACATCGCGATCGGTCGATCGACTGGTGAAGTACATTGTCATATTAGCATAAATATTTATTGCTTCCTCAAGAATTGGCCTCAAATCGCCAATTCGAGTCAATTTCATAGCACATCAATCAATGTCAGGAGCCATTGTTTCAATGAACCTGATCTACAATCCTAAATACTGAATGTAGGACATGACTTCAGCATTGTATTGGTTTGTTGGACTTTATTCCGTATATTGCATAATTACCAGATTACCAGATTATTACAATTACCATATTACCAGAGGGAGACTTTGTACAAAAGTCGATTGCTTGGGTACCTCTGAACCTTTCGTGTTTCAACTATGAAGCAGTTGTGTTTGCATGGCTGTGTTTCGGTTTGAACGATGGGATATGGCGTGAATTTACTGGGTACAAAGGAATAACAACTGAATCCTCAGGAATGTTAACGCATGGGGGGTATTATGGACGAAACAGTATACTCTGTTATGTCCATGGTACTGCTCATGTCTATAGGCGACGATTACCACTTTCCATCAGGTGGGCCGTCAGCTTGTTTGCCATTCTAAGTTGTATAAAAAAAATTAACTTTACGCTTGATACTTTCGTACGAGTAGAAAATCGGAACTGAGGATATCCGATGTAACAAACCTTCAAGAATGCAACCTTCAAGAATATGAACAAATGTAATAATGTATGTATGTAAGCCCTGTGATGATAAAACAGAGCGTGCTACAAATCTTACGACAAAAAACTTTATCTAAATATCTGTAATGTATCAGTATATGGTTGAAATACATAGTTTTCCCATTTCTATGATAAGCAATAACACGCGCTGTTGCTTAGTCAGAACTTTTTATTTTAATTTATTTATTAGTTTTCAAAATTTTGAAGTTTTTAGTTCACGATTGAAGTTGCTTTTTTGTGGAGATATATCATAATCATGTAAACTACGAACGCTCTATCTAGAAAGTACGACTGAAGAGAGTACGTATATTATCTTAAGAGTCTAATAATATCAATGTACGTAAACATTTTATTTTATATGATTGTTTTACGCGTAGTTATAACGTTCGACTCACACCATAAATATTTATTCTATTCTATTCTATTATTTCAGAACAAACGTTTGGACAAACAGAAAAAATCCAAAAATTAACATAATATAAGAGATATTTTGTAAAATCTTTATTTCATAACTCGATTGAACACAAATGCAAACACAACTGCTTTCACGATAGAAAAACGAATGGTAATAACCTTACAATTAAAGACAGAGGTGAATATATAATACAATCGCTCTATATACTACATATTTTGTACAGAATAATAATATCATTAATACATAAATAAATAAAAACTTACACACATTACATTATATACGCGTAGTTACACACAACATATATTCGACTAGTTTCAGGGACCATCCGATACCCCTAGTCAAGAGCGGTTGTGACGCGAGCGCGTGCCTAAATCCGCGTATTCTTAAAGTCTTCTGTGATTTTCATGCTTATGTCTACAGACGACACTTAGCACTTTCCAATATGTGCATCGTCTAATTTGCTATTCCGTATTGCATAAAAATATTAATAACAAATAGCTATGCGGTGAGTTGGCGTGTCACTCAATGCACAACACAATATTGGTCAAGAACGAATTTAATAAAAAGAATAGATTGTATTGTATTGTAAAATCTTTATTGTACATAACTCAGATTTAACACTGTTAAATATTTTAATATACAATGGCGGACTTATCCCATAAAGGGATCTCTTACAGTCAACCTTTGAGAAGCTGAAAGAAAACTGTAGAATGTACAAGGGTAATAACCTTACAATTAAAGATAAACTAAATAATACGCAGTAAAAAAAATTGAATATATAATACAATAAAAACAGCTCTATATACCTACATATGTAAATAATAAAAGTACATGAATAATAATATAACATTAATACATAAATAAATAAAAACTTACACACATAAATACATATATATATACATACATACATACACACATACATATATTCACAATTGGCACAATGAAGAGGGATTTTCAGAATAAAATATTATGATACCTGCTTTAAAAGATTTCAGCGATTGTGCCATCTTTAAGTTATTAGGAAGTGAATTCCAGAGGCGTGCAGCATGTACAGTAAATGACATGGCATAGATATTTATTTAATCGACAGGGTTATTGATCATTTAAACCGACTCCAAAAAAGGAGGGCTCTTTAATGAAGTTGAGAACGAGTTTGTGAGTTCTCTTATCTTTCACGGGTATTGTCTTTTTTTTCTTTCAAATTGGTAGCCTTTTGTTGGCTTGATATGTCAACTAAATAATTAATATTATATTATTATTATTTTAATTTATCCGCAGCTTTCGTTTGCTGGAATGTTCATTAGGAGTGAGGCGTATTTATCATAACAGATATAAATCACAAGTATTCGAAGATAACAGATAACAGTTGTTCTTGCGTTGTCATCATATCTGGTAAAAAATATCATTTATAATTCCCCATACTCAAGTTATTCAACGAATATCAACAATCAACATATTCAGTGTTCGATAACAGCCGGTCACTAATATACCAGAGGGAGAGTTTGTACAAAAGTCGTTTGCTTGGGTACCTCTGTCCCATTCGTGTTTCAACCGTGAAGCAGTTGTGTTTGCATAGCTGTGTTTCGGTTTGAAGGGTGGAATATAACGTGAATTTACAGGGTACAGAGGAATAATATTTCTTCATGTAGCTAGCATCAGAATAAACCATCGCGAAGAGCTTGGAATTTTAAAATCATGGGCGAATCAGTATATCTGTTATGGCCATGGTACTGCTTATGTCTATAGGCGACGGTTACCACTTTCCATCAGGTAAGTTGTATAAAAATAAAAAGGTTCGTTTTTAAAAAAAAATCGATCGTAACCAAAAGTTGTATTGCTGGGCATGGGAAGCAAGCTGATGGTCCACCTGATGGTAAGCGGTACTCATAGCCTATAGATATAAACAGTACCGTGAAGAACACAGAGTAATAATCCGGGAATTACAAACAATAAAAAAAATGAAAATATAAAAATTTCCTCCTAACCTACATTAAGTTAGGAGGAAATTTTTGTATTTCGTACTATTTATAATTTATATTTTGTATTATTTTTTATTTATTTTATTGTTATTTACATTTATTTATTTCATACATGTACTAATATATTGACTAATTTATATTTCAATAAAGATTTCTTATTATTAATTTGCTGTGAGGTCCCGGCGTAGAATGGGCCACCCCTTCCCTTCTCATGGGTGTCGTAAGAAGCGACTAAGGGAGTTTAATGTACAATGGATGAGCAGCAGTATCCCCCAAACCCTAACTACAGTTGCTAACCGGGGGGAAAGAGATTGTCAGCAATGGAGTCTAATTTCCCCATTGCAAGCAATATACCCTATCAGGTCGACCTCCACGCGGTTCCCTCTGGAAACTTCTATCGTGATTAATTCTAGCGGAATTAGTAATGATGGGCAAACTGATCTGCTTTCATCGTCACCTATCATCCCTCACTGGTACCCCGCCAGCGTATACCGTTAGAGCAGGCGAGGTAACCATTTCAATATCATTATTTATTATTATTCATTACCATTAAAAAAAAAGTTGCTTTCATTATCACCCATGTTTTGAAAATTTAACAAAAATGATGATGATTATCATTATTATTTTTTAAATTTTACTAAAATTCTCATCTCCCCTCTTAAGGAGAGGAGATGGCGGCAAGCACAGTCGGCCGGGGTGGCAACCGGCGTACAATGCGGGCAAAATCTAAGAGCACCGCTTTCTGCATCTTTCCCGGGAGTGAGGGGGAATCCCAACCGTCTGAGATGTTGTCAGACTGGTTGGGATAAGGTTCACCAACATAACGTTGGGATGACAGGTAGATATGATGACGATCTTATTATTATTATTATTATTATTAAATTCTCTTAAGTATATAAACAGAATCAAGTATCCAACTAAAAATTAAATCCGAGTGGACCACACTGACATTTCAGAGACTTAAATTATAATAAGGATATAACAATATACATGATTCTATTTCGGTAACGGAAACTTAAAAAAAAAAAAAAAAAAGAAATGCAATGTACTCTATGGACCTTAACCTAAAACAAAGTTGCGGAAACGACAAAACACTTATCAAGATAGATCACTTCCGTAGCTGTCCGTCCACTTAATAATGTTTACATAGGCATTAGGTCTTTGAAGTAAGTATTTAGTATGCAACTCTATGGCTTCTTGATCTAGGCTTATCAATTGAATAGAAAAAAAACAATGACCAAAGGTCTACTATCCTTAATCTATGGGCTAAAAAACTTACTGTTTACTAGGTCTGCATCACTTACAATAAAAAAATTGTTCGTGTAATTCTATGCAACCAACTAATTTGAGAATTTTATGTTATATACTTAGTAGATTTTACAATATAAAAGAAGTAGTCCAGTATTGATTTTAATAGGTATCTTAATTCTACATTATTTATGATGTCTATCAATATTGACATTTGACTGAAGAATAA